TACAAAATAGTAAAACTAATGGACGAAAGGGGGGGGTCCAGACTTTCACTAATCTAATCAATTTAAAATGAATATTTCCTCATAATTTATTATTAGAAATGTCCGTGTTTGGATTTGAAGCACAGGACCCCCATTTTAACTAAATTTTCCTAGTGCGTGTGCTATCACGGCTGTGGCTCAACGCTATTGACATGCGATTATTTTAATTTATGTACAATAGTGTAAAGTTAAAAAACTTGGGAAGAACAAAAATCACTATTTATATTGCATGTACATGCCTTATATTAAGTCAGGAACTTAGTCAGGAACTTAATATTTCGTAAAAACGAATTAATATTTCGTAAAAACGAAATAATATTTCGTATTTACGAATTAATATTTCGTAATTACGAATTATTATTTCGTAAAAACGAATTAAATTCCGGGGAAAAAAGTGTGGAAAATGTCACCTTAGGGGTTCGTAAAAACGAATTAATATTTCGTAAAAACGAATTGATATTTCGTAAAAACGAAATAATATTTCGTATTTACGAATTAATATTTCGTAATTACGAATTATTATTTCGTAAAAACGAATTAAATTCCGGGGAAAAAAGTGTGGAAAATGTCACCTTAGGGGCTCCGTAGTCCTACACTAATTGAAAGATTTTCTTAGCTCAAAGGTCCACCTCAATAATGTAATGTGCATATGGTCACACTTGAAGGTCAAAAATGACTTAGAAAATATTCTTAAATTTTAACATGTATTTGAATATTTCTGAAACTAGGAAAGGTATTTGCTTGGAACTTGAAATATATATGAAGTGTCAGAATTAAGTTATGCAGGCCAAGTTTCATAACTTTGTATTGCATTTTGACAAAGTTATGCCCCTTTTTATGTCTTCAAATTTACATACAATTAAATATTAGCCAATATGTCGTGTCCGCTCTATAAATCCTACACTAATTGAAGAATTTTCTTCAAACTTTACTCAAATGTTCACCTCAATAAGGTTATGTGCAGAACCGATGTTACCTTTGTGCCGGCTTAAGGTCAAGGTCACACTTGAAGGTAAACAATTGACTTAGAAAATGTTCTTAAATTTTAACATGTACTTGAATATTTCTGAAACTAGAAAAGGTATATGCTTGGAACTTAAAAGATATATGAGATGTCACAATTAAGATATTCAGGTCTAGTTTCATAACTCTGTATTGCACTTTGACAAATTTATGCTCCTTTTTAAGTCTTTAAATTGACATACAATTAATACTAGACAATATGTCGTGTCCGCTCTATAAATCCTATACTAATGGAAGGATTTACTTCAAACTTGACTCAAATGTTCACCCTAACTGGGCAATGTGCAGCACCCATCTTACCCTTTTGCTAGCTTAAGGTTAAGGCCATACTTGAAGGTCAAAAATTGACTTAGAAAATGTTCTGAAATTTTAACATGTACTTGAATATTTCTCAAACTAAAACAGATCATTTGAAACTTCAAATATATACGAAGTGTCGAAAGTAAGATATGCAGGTCAAGTTTTATAACTAAAAAAGTGGGAGGGGGTAACTTTGTGTTGTATTTTGAGTTAAGTCCATTTTTTATGTCTTTTAATTTATTTACTATAAAATTTCTTAAACCAGAACAAATATTCACTTGAAATTATATAATATATGAAGGGTCACAAGTAAGCTCAGTATGCAAAGTTTTCCACTCTTTAATTACACTTTGACATAATTATGCTATTTTCTTAACTTCGCTGATTTTGTTTGTTTTAGTACATTGGGAAAATGAAAGGTTATTTGTAACTGTTTCGAACATGATTTGACAATATATATTTATCCGTAAAACAATATAAAATGACTGCACAAAGACATAAAAAACTTTATGTCACCATAAACTTCTATTTATACTATTACCTGTACAATTTGTCTTTTCTTCATCAGAGATAATTTCTTTTTATGTATATGTATTTGTGCCACTAAAGAGAACATTAAAAATAATAGGGGTATGGACACAGAGACAGGAATACGGATCAAGAAAAATGGCAAAAAAAAACCTTTACACACTCACATCTTCCGATAAAAAATTTAAATTTTCAATCAATACCAAAAATTGCCATGCAAATCTCGGGCGCAGTGTTTACAAATAATATCTATTAAAATATGCTGTTATCTTTCTTCATATTCCTTCAACACTTCTTTCCTTTGATATAACTTTGATATAATAAGTGCCTTAAAGATTTCGGCTCATGAAATAGCTTTTTAAATATTTAATGAAGCGAAGTCTCTACAAACACATGACTTTTGTTCAAATATATAACATGGACCATAGGTGGTCGCCTAAAAGGTAAGTATGTGTTATTTTATTTAATAAAAATAAAGCTAAAATGTATATCATTCAATCTAATGCAGATTTCAGTATAATCCTTACACTAAATGCTTTAAAACTATATTAATGGTAACATATGCTTGTATTTCCTTTTCAAGATGTAGATATGAAATTTCAAATACGCTGTGAGAGAATTAGTTTATATATTATATTATATATATATTTTGCCAGGGTTGAAATAAAACTGTGGTCCGTATTTAAAAAACTTCAAGTCTCTCTATATAATTCTATGTCGGTAATCAGTAATGGCAAAAATCCAAGGTTGGCTTGCAGACCAAATAATATCTATATATATCTATATAATATGGAATAATCCTCTCCGGTAATATATACGAAACAACGATATTATATGAACATTGCAGACTCATTTTAAATGGCCTGTCCATGAGAGATTATTAAAAGTTGCACAATCTCTGGACACCCACCAACACCGGCCCTTTTTAATGCGTATTAATCCTCAAACACTTAGTGCTGATACTCATTCACCCACTAAGCCCACATATTCTTTTTATTAATAATGCATTTATATACGTGTCTTAACATCATAAAATCATGAAAGTTTTTTGGAACTATATTTTCCGTAATCAAATTGAAAATTCACTTTCCATTTTTTCTAGTACTAATTATATCTAATTACTTCATGCAATGTACTATGAAATCTGTTGCAAACGTACGAGTGCTTTTCGTAGTGTTATAAGCATATCGACGCTTTGCTTACTTGGTTTAGCAAGAAGATACCATTGATTCATAAGTTGTTGCTATCAATAACGAGCTTGCTTGTATATATTTGAATTCACTTTTCTTTTAGAAGTTTTATCTGTGTCTTTCTAGAAATGATCATGAGTTCGAACGGTGTTTACAGATTTCTAAATTTTTTCAAGTACATAATAATCATGAGGCGGTTTTGATATTACTTGGATATTGTCATTTTGCTCTAAACCTGGTTTACTTATAAAGTCATTTCAATACGTTCATATTCAGAATTATTTCCTTCATTTTATTCTTGTCCGCAAGCTAATGTAAAGTATTTGCGATTTCTCTTCTGTTTGACATTGTTCAGGACATAAATTTGCATATGATTGTCGTTAACGTGGTTGATACGCTTCAATCATACTGATTGGCTCTGATTTTGACTCAATTGGTTTTCGTAAGCACCGGTGAATCGGCGAATGTTTCTCATCATTTGCAGTGAATGATATTAACAGGGATATCTCATAATGCGAGGCTATTTCTCCTCAGGTTTCTTTTGTCTACCGTTTCTTTCTGAAAAAAAATGATTCTTTTGGTGGGAAAAAGTGTCGAGTGAAACTAGGATATTTATTATAGTACCCTGTGCTGAAATTTACCAGTTGAATTGGAGAGAAAATTGATTTTGTTGGTTCTTTGGACAATTTTGTAGTAGATTTTATCTGTTATATATTAGTATTTTAGCATCTGTTTGAAATCGAGGCTCCTTCATAGAGAGGCCTGTTAGCACAGATTCCACGTTATATCTACAAATGAAGTGAATCACTATTTTACCCTTTACTTCATATAGAGTGTTCTTTACGGCTTTCGGAACCCTCCCCCTTTTGAGCTCAGAACAGTGAAATTTGCTTATTTTTTTAGGCCCCAAAACACTGTTTTTTCGTTTGGAAAATGTTGCAAAAAGAGACACTTTTGTTCGCGCCCCGCCCGCCTATCAAGGTACATGAGGGTTTGCCAGAAGGGGTATGTACCCCTTCTTGGGAATCATTGATATGGGGGCGGTATTCCCCCTCCATCGCCAAGAAAATTTTGGTATTCTTTGTGAAGACAAAATATGCCCCAGGTCGATTGCATAAGGTAAATGTGTAACCAACGCTGAAAAGCCTTTGACTCTTTCTCAAACTTGAGAAGTTGCAACACTTTGAAATCAATTTTGATGGAAAAAATCATGCGCAAAATAATGATTTTTAGGCAATTTTTGAGATGTCCTCGTTGCCATGGTAACAGGAAATTTAAGACTGAGCATGTCGTTACAAACGCAATGGCCCAGTCAACATTTTATGCAAAGTTTTTTATTAGTATTGAAGCATTTTATATGGTTTCATAGCAGTTTGAACTTGTAACAGGAGGCTTTTCAATGAAACCGGCCATTTTTCACAATATGCTCATGAGGGAAAGGGTTAAGATATATAACAAAAAAAAATATGAATACAGTTTTCTATTGTTATATTTTATTCATTGTCATATGGCATGCATAAAAATAGCGACAACATTAATAGCAAACATACTTCGACAAATCAACGCTATGAAAATCGCAACCATGACAGTCACCAAAACAGCGGCTGCACTAACAACTGTATACATAAACATACTAAATTCTGGTGTTTCTGCAAATAAATTATAAACAATCAAAGCATACTTTTATCACAAAGTTAAAATGATAGCAATGATATTTTTAATTAATTAACTTTGATTTAAATGTATAAAACATCCTCGTATAGAAAGCAAAAATCTATACTATTTTTGTCAATAACATACTAGTACAGTCAAACCTGTGTTAAAGACACCTCAAAGTAAAGTTCACCATGTAAATAAAGACCATTTTGCATTTCACTCACCTTTAACTTCTTTGGGACTAGGTTTTTTAGTGCAGAGAATCTTGTTCAAAATCGTTCCATTCTTAGTAAAATTAAGCACAATTCTTTCGTCTTGCTTTTGCACATACCCATATTGAATTATTCCAGAATCAACTGAAAAAAATCAAAGCTGTTATATGTAACATTCTACTAAAACATGTTTTAAAATATCTTCCAACTAACTAAATGTTATAGTACATCCTACAACTTATTTAAACGAACTGACAGCAAAGAGAGATGTAAGAGTAATTCAAGACAAGTTTAACAATAATTTATCTCCGTCAACAATTGACCTAACTAGATAGACGTTGTAATATTTTTCAACATGTTGACATGTTATCTTTCAACTAATGTATTAATAAGCAAAAAGAGCAGTATCTTGTTGTTATACATTTGACTATATCAAAATATCAACAATCCTCGAGGAAATCATCTAGAAATGCAGACGTTATAAGCTAATATTTTACAGAATTACCAAATTTCATCCTGCGATCTCAACACCGACGATGATACCGCTATGCTTTATTGTATACGGTCGAAGTATATTATCTATTATTGATCTAACATATATCTATTATACTGCGATTAAAGAGTATTCGATCATGTACATTGAACTCGTAAGTACAAACTGTCCGACGACCTTTGACATTCTTCAAATCATTATCAGCTCGCTATACATTTTCTACAGTGAATGGGTAAGCCCGTCCTATGTAAAACATTTCGTTCGGTAGTGTCTAATCCGATGATCTTATAATCTTAGCCTCATTTGAAGATGTCGAAATACAATAAACGGGCCCTGAAAGCAACAAAAGACACAAGTGAAAAAGCAGAACAGACAAACTACAAAATACAAAGAACAAGGAAGGTCCATATATAGCTCGACATTGTCCAAGCTCTGCCCTCGCAACAACAACGCGTCAACCAATAATATAAACGAATGATGTCTTATATATATTCCTCAGTATTCTTAGCAAGCTACGTTTGCTAGAATTCCAACAAAATAAGAATCTCACCTTCCATATTCCATTTGAAATGTACATTTTCTTATTAGCATTTGTTCAACTTGCTTTGAATATCTTTGCACTGTTAGATTTGAGTAGATCACATGTTTCAAATTGGAAAAGAATGTTCAATTAATATATGTCCTTCAATATAATTTGTATTATTCGTCGGTGTCAAGCGTGTACTAACGTCTGCGCCGAAACAATCGATCTGGTGATAAGTCCTGGTTGTAGCGAAGTGTACACCTCCGCCCTCGATTACTTTGTGGATAACGCACTGATCCAACGTTTTACTGAACGAACGTATGTGCGATCCTACGCTTCTCTCTGTGAGTCTAATTTACTGATTGACCCGCAGCATTGCTATAATCCCTTAAATACATTGCACATAGCCAGTCGCAACACAGACATATGGGGAGAATAAATAGAGCATTGAGTGATTCCACATCCACTGGAGTATACCTCATAAGTTTCAATGTCGTAGTCTCCTCTTCCTATCAGTAGATTTAATTATTTAATTTTTAAATTACATACCGATTAGTCACATTACAACTAACATCTTTTCTGAACATTTCCCCAAGCAAAGGTATTTTGATCCACGATCAAGCGCAGACAATGTGCATCTACATAATTTCTTGCGCTAATATCTTTTGCTTCTAAAAGAAAGAAACAATACTATAAACATTGGTATACTCGTAAGGCGTATCTTGATCGGAGGTTAATTTGAATATTTTATTAACATTGAAAGCCATGGCAGATGTATTCATACATTGACTTGCTCAGTGTATTTTGTTTAACAAACATTTTTGTCTTATAATATTGTGTTTTAATTGAAAAGAACAAAATTTAGATTGTCGCATATGTTTATGATACGCTTCCTAGTTGTACTGTTTAGAAACATCTTGGGATGGTAGCAGATACTTTATGGCTGTTTGAGCGATTTTCCCTTTCATTTATGATATATTTTGTTGTCAAAAGTTATTTTTCATTTGGTGTAGAGGGTAATTAAGAAATTCTTAAGATTGCGTAAGATTGAATAGATCTCAAGGTTTCGTCTTTGGAATGAATTCAGTATATATGATATATGTCAAGAATGTGGATCTTATTGTTCAAAGATGAACATATGCCATCCTAAGGAGGCAAGGGGAAAAGAAAAACAGGGCTGATATCGTTTTCAGACAGTAAAATGTTTTTCTTTTTATAAATAGTCCCCCGGGGTTAGCATTGGTTTTACTATTTCAATTGTAAAACATTGTGCCGGTTTAAATAACAAAGTAACTAAATTGAAACTGAATGAATTCAAATTGTTTCGAAATAGGGAACCTGATTGTATTTCAGTGAGCAAACGAAGAGGCATATCTTGATACGTGGAATTCTCTACCACTTTCAAGGCTAATATTTATGCTATGCCATTTATTTTTTCCAAACATTCTTACATTGTTTCTTATCTTACTAATTCATTCACATAAACCCTTGATAATATAATCTGTTGAATACATGTAATGGATTTGCCCTACTGTAAACTTGTAACAGTTTAAAGATAGAGTGATTCTAACATCAAGCAACAAACAGTATTCTGGCTTGGCGCTATACTCGTGGCAAATGCTAATTACTTTTGTTTCTTGCAGGTTAATAGACATATAATTGTAGTTTGTCAATTAATTGGTCAAAATATAGAAAGCGCAATCATACCTAGTTTGTGTTCTTTATAAATGGAAATATATTTTGATCCATTTTCCATTCGGTAACCACAAACAACTCCGCTTTTGGATTCACATTCCGTCGTGCAAATTGTATAATTTGACCGTAATGCCGACAAGGAACTTGAATCGTTTAAGCAAAAGCACTGAAACCAAAATAGACTTTAATGTATGTAAGCAACTGATACAATTTTATAAAAAAATGTCTAGGAGGAGATCAAATAACAAATTTTCTCACGCAATCTTCAGAAATATAACTTCCAAATATATAAAGCATTCGCCTGTTCAGATTTTAACTGGCATCATTCCCTGCGGTCTGGAGACCGCAGGGTATTGGTACGCGTTTAACTTTTGAGGCATGGAGGAGCACGTGACCTGTTTTCGGTACATGGAGGAGCATGTGATCTGTAAACCGTATATGATTGGTTAATTGACCTTTTCGAAAACCCAGCTAAATACCGTTTGCCGGTACGTTACGGATTTATCTGTAGGGAATTCGTCCGAATTACACCTAATTGAGAACAAAAAATCTATTACGTGCTATTTCTGATTTTCTATAATTATTTTACCGTTTAAGGTGGAAAAACTTGAATGATGTCTTTGAAAATTATCAATGTTTCTTCAATATCTTATCTCAAATTTTACAAACAATAAATTGTTTACACTGACAATCTACAAAATTAAAATATTCGTAGTGGCATCTGCCATAATAAATAGAGATATTTTCTGCGTAAATTTTGTGTGTTTACTTTATTTATTTTTTGCTCGGAATTATTCATAAAATGGTAGGCCTATTTAATCATTTTCTTAAAAAGAAATAATTGTTTTATGTTCGACCTTCCCCGGTCTTCAACGGTCACATACAGTTTCCAAAGACCTTCTTCTATATTGTTCGATTATTGTCAACTATGTTCCTGTTACAAACGTTTATTTATCCCCCCCCAAATAATGTTGAAAATAGTTAAATGAAATATCTTTATATCATTAAAATGTTCACCGCAGGAAACCATTTTACTTGTATCTATCTCATGTATGTCATCAGAACGGTAACAATTGACCACAATCTAGTTTTTCAACCAGGTGAACTACCAACTGACCTCATTTCCTGACACTCCCACGGTTGACCTGTTATTACATACATCAAAGCACTGTCCTGGACTTACAACTTCAACCCCCTCAGATTGGAGGATACCCAAAGATTTCTGCTGAAAACAACCTGCAAAGAAACAGACACAACTGTTATTTGATATTCCTAAAATCTTTCTATCAATTATTTTTAATTTTAATCGATAGCATTGGTTGCAATGTGGTCAAAATTACTGTCTCTGAACCATTTGTCCTATCCCTTGTCACTGTGGGTCTGAATACGTCGAAGGACTTTAGACTATTCGTGTCAAGCAGCTATCCAGCGAGCGCAAAAGAGGTCGATTGTTCTCCTCGGTTTCCTACTGGTTGCTATAATTATGCCATTAGGGTTACGGGTGATCTTTTGCTATCAGCAAAGATGGAAAGTTGTCTAATTAACTTAACACTAAACTAAATATATTGTATTTAGATGTTATGATACTAAAAGTTTGTTACGCCGATTTTGACTGGTTTGTATAACCAATAAACACGCTGTAGCATATATACAAACTATTTTTCATTTTCATTCAAATAAAAGCAGTTAATGTATTGTTATCTGTTATAATATTGCACGTTTGTAACATCGATTTTCATTGGCCAACCATGGCGTTTATGTTATTTATTTACACGTCTGCTGTAAAAAATCATAATTTATTACATTCTACTCAATAAAAAAACAACAGATATTATCGCTGTGTGACAATAGCGCGTCCGAGCGTCACATATCATATAAACTGACATCCGTGTTTAAATTGGTTCTAAAATGTGTGAAAACTTTTTTAAACTAATAATATTCCCCATTGATGACAATAATAAGTTGAAACCGAAAACAACCAATTGTAATGCGTTTTAGTTTTTACTTATATATTGTACAATGACTTTATTTTTTATTCTATTGTTTAGAAATTAGCTATAGTGCTCGTATTATATATACATCCAGTTTTAAGATGCATTGTATGACAAATTGATATTTGTACCAGCCAGTGAAACACAATTAATCGCCAGAGTAGATGTTTGACATATTCTTTTGCGAATGTCAAATTGCCTACAAATTAAACAGTTATGTTTTCTGTGGTGTTTTTTAAGTATAAAAGACACCGACACATTATCGCCAGTCTGTGTTCTAATGATATAATACATTAGAGTGGAACAAAATCTTAAAATCTTTCATAAACTTATACGTTTCATGTGTAGTTATTGTTATGGCAAATTTGAACGGTAACTAGGGTTTTGTATATAGTGTGTGAACAGGAAGATAATACAAAGTTTTTGTTCATAATACAATTATAAAAAACAAGTTATTTTGGGTGTATATTATTTTGAAGTTAAGGTTGGTTTCGGTTTAATTTGATACAATTAACATCCGTCTTTAAGCCCATTTTTTCAAATCATATGGTTAAAGACCTACTAAGACGACTATGTATTCATTTAGTTTGCTATGTATGATTTGATAAACCATTTGCCTCAGTCATTTATTAGAATGCCTAGAGTTATGTAAAGCACAATGCAAGAGTGTGTGATTACCAAAGCACAGTCAACCAAATTAAAATTGGTTAAAATAATATGCAGAACTATATTTTAAGTTAAACTATTAGCAATATATTGATGTTTGAAAGAATACCACGGAAATGTTTTGTTTTTTTTAAACATGAGAATTTTTATGTTTTTCAAAAAATATGAGCTTAAATACATAAGATTTAAAATCTTACATAGACCAACTGAGGCACAAAGAAGGAAAAACAACAACAACAACACCAACACCCCTGCCAAAAAATATATATATAAAAAATTAAAATTTATTTTAAAAATTATACTAAAATTACTACTGATAATATATCAAACTATTTTCTAATTTCGCTCTATAATATTGATTGTTTTTTTTAGATAATTACCAATATAATCGAAAGACTTTTGCGTCTTGATATATCCAACCCAAGCATGCTCAGTGTCTGAGAGTGAGATGTTGGCATCTACAACAATTCCGGTTGATGTTTGTCGAATAGGAGGAACAGCAATTGAACATTCGTTATATATATTCGCCCATTGTGAAGATATGTTAGATACAAGATAGCTTTCTGCGCATTCTGAAACTAAAATAGGAATGATAATTCTCATAACAACTGTATGTTAAAGGCCCATTTAACCTAAGAAATGGTTTTATTTGTAATGCTCAAAAGCTTTTTAGTTTTAGATCCAGAAAGATATTCATTGGTGTATATTATTTATAAAAAAATGCCAATAAACACTGGCATTGGTGAGTGCTTTTTATTTATATATTCTAATTCTATCCATTATTAAGGTGAAAATTTATTTTATTTATATACTTTGTAATCTAAATAAATTCATTAGTTAGGTCAAAATATTAAACATTAGTTTTATTAATTTTTCCTCTTTCTATCTCTCTTTTTATTCTCAGATAAATAGTCATTTAAAAATATGCAAATGGTTATATTTTAACTTTTTCATATTTTGCTTATCTAGATACGAATATTTTCTGAATTTGTTTTTTTTAGATTTATTGATTTTAATATTATTATATAAATATCATTTATACGATTGATCGTCAATCACTTACCATGGAAAACTGAGAAGAAAATGAATATATTCCAAAATGTCATATTTCTCCAATATAATTATATGACTATACAAATGTAGAATTAAACCCTGACCGCACTATAATTACGTTTAAATATTTTCCTTGTAAGCGAGTCAGTTTTAATCCATAAGTACACAAGTAGGATGTAAAAATTGTCAATAGAATAGGAAACAAGTACGCAGCACCTTAAGTGTTTCAAAATGTATAATTTAATGATTTAATTTAAAATATTATTTTAAAGAATGCATGTATCACATGAAATAATGAGTGTATATCCTTCCTCACTTTTGGTATCATGACAAAACAATTTAAAGAATACACGATTAAGCGGTCATGTACATGTACTTATCATGCTTAATAAGTCACGGAAAACCAATAGTGCTATATCAGATTGCATTACATGGCAAGCCAAGCTTAATTTACTTTAGAAGCATTTACAATTAATACCGTGATGTTGAAATTATTTCTTACTGATTACTTTATATGACTGCTGAAACTAAATGTGGTAGTAAGTTCGTAAAAAAAATCACCATATCAAGCACTGCTAAGATTTGATGTCAAAGGTGATGCTTTTCACTCCCAGCCATTTCACTATTTTATAAGCATTCGGTACCAATTTTTTGTATACAATGAGTGGAAAAAAGGTCATGGAATATGCTTTATCTTTTTAATCTTTAAGTTTTGACATTACTTTTGTAACACATTTGATTCTCAACTGCAGCTTAAATTTGTTTAAAGCCGCAAGATTCCAGATGCGCCAAATATAATCAAGGAAATTAAGCTAGAGAACGATGTACTGAGATTTTAAGAAAAGTGAAAAAAAAATTATATTCGAGTAATTATTTTACATGTCATGTGCAATTACAAACAGATTTTGCAATATTTATCAAGTGCTATTTTATTTTGACCATTTTTACACTAAAAAATCATGAAATAAAGGCGTGCTGCTTAAAGATCTTCATCACATTGGAAAAGATACTTTACAAAACTCAATGTACTTGAAGCACTGACGAAAGGCGACTTTTTTTGCAAAATTGTTTTTTGGCATCACTGATTATTACTAAAAGATTCCACTCGAAGAATCAGTTCCTTGTAAGGAAAACAGTTCTTCTTTAAGCAATGCAAAGCAAACTCTATTCTACATTATGACAATTCCTAACGGCGACCCCGGCAAGGTAAGCTACTGTACTTATCAGTAGTAATTCGGTCATTATTGCGGCAAATTTTTCATGCACGTGAACGAATTATTCAGTATTCTTATGTTCTTATGAAACTCCAAAATAAAAAAAAAAATCATTTCATTATTAATCTTATGTTATAAATTACTTAAGTAACGTTTAATTTTATTCCTGCGGGCATGAATTAAGATTGTTGTTCTTGGGCCCATGCAAATGGAGCCGACGAGATATATCGTCTCGTCACACACAGTCTGTTTCATTTTTACGAAAAATATTCTTGTCTTGCCCAAAATAGTAATTGACATTAAGGACTTTTGATATTTTTCTTCTCTTTGAATTGAAAAAGCCTCTTTATGTCAAAAGTTTTAAGTGCTGCGCATTTGTTTTCATGTCCGACATATCAGTATAATATTACAATAACTTTATAGTTATTACATATTATTATGATTCCGATAAAAGTATGACTAACAAGAGACGCTTGAGATCCATGTTTTAACGGATAGACTAAGTCCGACCGAACGTGTAATTTTTCATGTTTTGATTAAGTTAGATAGATTCAATAAGGTTATTACATTTTATGAACTTGCACTCATATAAAGGAAATTTTATAGTGACGAGCGGTGAGTCATCCAGTGGTAACCGCATGCAGCTGCGTATCAATAAGTTGTTATCTTAATTCTCTCTATTTCTACTTAAATTACTTAAATTTCTCAAGGATGAAACTATCAACCGATGTCCTGTAAACTTGAATTTTATATCTATTCGTGTTTAAAATTAGATAATATCTCTATATTTGCAACCAAAACTAGAATGACTAGATAATATTTCAAATACTCGCCCATCTGGCTTTCTTCCAGTGAATAAAAATAAATCATAATGTAAATTTAAATTTTCATCAGTGCAATCCGAAATATAAAACACATGGTTACTCGGAATTTACTTTTATTGTATTTATAAGCTTACAGTGGCATTAAAATCCTCAATGAAGTTCACTATTAATAAACAAACAACATACAACAAAACCCCGTTTTAAAGAATAATATAATGTTTTAAATTAACTAAAACATCCAAGGATTAAAAACACGATTCCATTAAAATCAATATAAAATGAACATAGTTGATCTTTGTATAAAATTTGTTGTTCTTTTGTCATCTTCAATAACCATAAATTAATGTAATATTAATAGATTATCTACAATGCACTGAATTTTTCGGCTTAAAGTATTGTGTTCGTGTTAAGCAAACATGTTTTAGGCATAGCTTTTTTCACCATTTAGTCATCGATTGATATCAAAGATTGCTTAACCAATAGTAGTTGTAATAATAATAACAAGGTTAGCTTCTAAAGAACTAGTAGCGACTATCTTTGCCATTTCTGTTTCCTGGGTAGGGTTAAAATTTTGAATTGACAGCTCTCTCAGTTTAACAACAACTTGGGTAATGACGGAATATTCCATTTTTAACAAGGGGGCAATTTGCCCCAAAGCGGTCATTTGAGGACTACATATATCAAGATGCATCCAAATAGAAAGAATGTAGTCCCTCTGTATATGTACTTTCACTTTTTGGCCGTTGTACTTTTTGATATTTCAGTTCCCAATGACCTTGACTTTTTGACCTGAAAATGTGTGTGGTAAGTAGAACTCATCAATGTGTCTCCATATATGAAGTTTAATTGTTATAGGCCAATAAGTATTGGAACGAATGACAATAAACAGTCCTATTCATGTCTATATACTCGTAAATCAAGTACCCCCTTGGTTGGGGGTGAATATTGACTTATGGGGCATGGTTAACATTTGATTTGTATAAGTTCACAAGGCAATACTACATAACCGATATTTAAGCTTCAGGCATTGAAGTATTATACAATAAGACTAAACATATATTTTTCTATGCAGGTTAATATAAATCATTACCCTTTCCCCTTGGGGCGTGGAATATTTTGACCCAAGGGACATGATTTAGATACATGTACATTTTGTAGTGGTCCAGAAAGCAATACCACATGCCAAATAATTAAGCTTTAGGCATTTTAGTATGAGAAAATAAGGCTTAAATGTGTATTTTTTCTATATAAGTCAAGTTGTCCCATTGACCTACATATGCAACAGGCTGGAACCATTCGAGCAACTTTGAAATTGGACTACCGCAGGGCCATTCCTGTAAAGTTTGGTTGATGTGCAGTCATTGGTTTCAAAAAAGGAGATGTTGTTTAAAGAAAAAGTTGACGACGTATGATGACAGACAACGGATGAAGGGGGGTCACATAAGCACACTATGAGGCAGTTGTGCTCTGGTGAGTAAAACAGTAGATAAAGGGTTATAATATCGTTAGAAAGCTTTACACAATGATCATTTCCTGTACACAGATTGAAATTATGATGATGAACTAGTGTGCAAAGTTAAAAGCCACATGTTAATAGACTTTGAAAATATATGAGGTAGTACACAAACTTAAACGTAAATTTTAAGTGAAAAATATGCATAATTTTGTCAAAATGCTTGATACAGTTACCTTATCCAGTGTACAGGTTGGGGCATGATGATGAATAATGTGCAAAGTTTCAAAGCCAGATGTCAATGGAATCTAAAAATATTTGCATATTCGTAAATTCTAAATAGAAAAAGGGAATAATTATGCCAATATGCTTATTATAATTACCTCATCCTGTGTACAAGTTGAAACGTGATAGTGATCAAGTGTGAAAAGTTTCAAAGCTATCTGTCAATTGATTTTGAAAATATTTGTGGTAGTATGTACACTTTAACATAAATGGTTACGCTGATGCTCGGGGTCTAGGATAGCTCTCATTTTTTTCGAATAGTCGAGCTTGAACATCATTTTGTTTTGCTAGAGCGTTATTGCAAAAGACTTGCAGCTTTAAATTTTCCCATTAACAGCTGCGAATGGTAAAGTTTATTGGGGCATTTTGTTTTGAGGAAGTGGGCTGGCTCATAAAAGATATGCATGTCTATTCAGGTGCCTACTTGTGCCTGAATAATGCTTAAATGGGACACCAGATGTATTATTTCGCTATTGAAGCTGGAGTTGTCATATGTCTTTTTTTATTAAAAATTAATATTATCAACTCTAATGGAGACAAAGAAATTCCTGTGGTGGTTTTAAGGAATTTAACAAAGAAGTGACATACACACGAACAATAGGAAAAAGTAATATCAAACTTTAATCATTAGACTATACATTAGCATAAATGTATGAAATAAATAACAAATACAAAACAAAAATAACAATTTGATAACAAAATAATTTTTTGCTATAGGTGGTCTTTTAAAAACCGGAATGATAGAGGGCAATGATATATTTGATCTTTTTGTAAGCTGATTGACACTGATGTTAATTAACCAAACGAAAACTTACTTTTGGAGTCCAGCTCAGACAGGCGAATCATATGAAAAGCTGGGAGCCAAACTTCGTATGAATTTGGAGTTTAATGTTGTTTTCTATTGTTTTGTTTCCTCAGTAAAATGCTCACGTTAACCGAAGCCGACATGATATAATGATATAATACAAATTAACCCATGTTTGGTTTGACGAAGTAGTGAGTGCTTGGAACACAAGATATCTATTTTGAACATGAAATATTTGATGGTTTATATGAAGAAAAACAAACATTTAAACTTTGTCGACCTAAGATCTACACTCTTTAAAATGCAAATACCATTTTTAAAACAAAATTTGACATCACAGACAAACTTTGTTCCCAAAATTCAATTAAATATAACATTATAACTTTGATGAAATACGTGTAATGAAATTATAAATATATTGTATTTCCTTTTCCATTTTTTGTGAAAAGACGGAGTACTCCTAAAGTTGTCTTTTTTACGAACTTTCAACAATAAATGCATCCAATATTCTTTTATTTTAAGTGCAGTAATATATCTTAATATTTTCAAAATATATCATAAAAAAATAGAAAATGCTTTTTTCTTATATTATATTGTTTTCGAATTTCATGATTAAAATGCCTTCCTTCTGAACATGAAAAATTAATTGTTAATAATTAAACCTTTTCAGGCATATCCCATCGAAATTGTTCGACGGTTGGCGAGAACGTTAAAGTGAATGCGAACAAAATAACTGTGAAAACCACCCTAACATTGGTATTATTCTAAATAGGAAATGACAAGTCTTTATAATCGCAACACTATGCTAACTATACAATAATTGTTCACCTATTCCACCTATGTTATTTCAATTAACAATATAAAGACCATTTTGGACAAAATTTGTCCCAAAAAATTGTACAAGAAATACAACTCGCTAAGTTTTACATTAACTTTTTTTCTGTAATGTATCATTAAAAAAAATAGCGTGCATACTAGTCTTCAGTCAATTTTGCCTTCCTTATATTTAGTAAGCGATATTGTTTTCATGATTTAAGCGGCAAATAGATATTATAACATCTAAATGATATTTCATCACTTATGAACACATAGCCATATCAATCTCTTGGCCCAAAAAGACCACTTGTTGTATACTCCAAATAAATAAGTCAATTTTGTCCTTGATATTTAAACGGCTCATAATACATACATAAGAGTAATGTAAGAGAACTAACAGCTGCAAAACGATTTAAATGACGATCACCCTTCTACTAGTTGTACCCATGAGTAACACTTAATGTGTTAACATTGATGTCACTGTTGCAAAAGGTTACGTACATGAAAAGAACATACATTTCACAAAATCATTAATAATATCCAGTTTGCTACCTTGGTTTTAAATGATCTTGGACTTATTTCAAACTAACTTGAGACTTTCTTAATGAGAAATGGCAGGAATGTTTTATAAATAACAAATGTTGCAATTTATTTGTTGGACACATGATCATATGTTTCATCAATGTTTTTACCACCTTTATTATATATATTTTCGCTCACAATTTGATTTTTCGTTTCAGTTCCGGCTGTATTGTAAACATTTTCCATATCTTCATTCAGTTTGCCATACATATTGCTACTTTCATTGAATTTAGCACTTTTTTCAGGACCAGTGATGTCGTACGTTTCATCTGCTCCCAACTTGTTATAAATGTTATCGTTTGGATTACTCATGTTTTTAACACCAGCTTTAGTGGTATCATATTTTTCATCTAATGTGCATGATTTAGTTAGATTTTCCTTACCAAGACCATATGCCTGGGAATAAGAACTGTCAGCATTTGGTTTGGGCACACTAGCGTTCTCTGCCAAATGTAAGGGAATGTCACTTGATGTTGCGTTGCTATAAACAACCTCATGTTCAGTATTTGATATTTTTGGTGTGGCTGATCGTCTGCAAAAAACATCGGGATAAAGGGAATGAGTTGTTTCATTATACAATCCAATCATCATAAATTAAGACGGTATGGTTAATGTGTAAATACAATGCTTTTTATCATAAACTAAGTCAATGATAATGCCTGAACTCGTTTTCTGTTTAGCAAATTTATCAATGTTTATCGCTAAATGTAACTATTATCCTAAAGATAAAATAAAAGTTTAATACATGGCAAATTAAGTGAGCATTAATATGTATACATAAGATTTTTATGGATTTAGAAATGAATAAGAAACTATAAAATGGTGTGCTATACCTCCTTCTGAATATCACAACAACGGTAACAGCTAATATACCAACAGCCACTAAAGTCCCAACTGAGGCACCAACAATGACATAGACTGTAGAATCTCCATCTGAAAACCGTTTAATATAAATCAATTTTTATAGAATTAAATAAATGAATAAATTATTAATTATATACATCATACAATTCTATATCTGGATAATTAAAATGTTGTAGGCTCGTTGTGATTAAGACTGTATAGTGACGGTAGTGGAGATTAAGTGCAAGCCATCGGGCATGTCAAATAGCACGACTTTTGCCGATAAAGTCGTCAAAGTCGACATTTTCTCACGAATAATGTTACTTATTTTTATGTATATGTTTGATAATCAAATATTAATTATCCAATATTAAAATAGTAACACTTCTCAGCTTATTGTTAGAATAATTTTCTAGCAATACGATATAAAATGTTTGCAAGCATCTTTAAATTAATTTTATAGTGCCATTCTTGGAAAAATCAATAGATCTATAATATTATTTATGAAAAAGTTTAGAACTTAGATTGTTTTTTTTTACAAAGACTCATGTTAAGGTTTATAAGGCGTAACAATTTATCATATCTGATTTGCCTAACAGGGTTTATGTTTTAATTAATAAAAAGTTGATACTACAAGGATCATCATACGAACATCATTTTGTGTTTGAATTATAGAACACTATTTCTAGTTAGTTATACACTTTATTCATATTCAACTTGTTAGATATAAACGAATATCAAGGAATCAATAAAAACAATCCTAAACTTTATAACTTTGATATTTACACGATATATCTGTTCACGATACAATATCATATTTTTTCTTAGGATCTTGTTGAAACAATCTTAAATTACACATATTTCTAACGAATGTCTTTTTTAAAGATAAATATGCCAAAGCAACAAACCCTCATTGCCGACATTCTGTTCTCCATACAGTTTCATTGATGTACGGTTGGATGACACCTGTATAGCCAATGAACTACTACTATACATTGATGTGGTAGATGATTGTGCTGATGTATCAGAATACTTGCTTGTACCTTCAACAATGATGAATAAAGATAAAAAATAAAACAATAAAGAACGTACCCATACACAAATCATTTGTTTGAAATGACGTAAAATCATATCAATATATATAAATTCAGCAGACAGGTTGAAATGTCAACACATACAAATGAATTCAGTTGATATTTACGAAATATTATCACCAATTACAGAAATTATTAAAGCGATCTTAAAATTCAACTGATAATTCATTCAGCAATTTTCATATGGATGATTATATTCTAGATATCGGTAAAGGATATTTAAAGCATACCATTTGTATATTTTCATGTAATAATGATATTTAACTTAAATCCAGGAGTATTATCAACTTAGTATGGTAGCGGTTTAATTAGAAAAATATTCGATTGAAGCATAAGAAAACAAACAATTTGTAAGATTCTCATCCAGTTTCTAATCTTTAAAAGAATTAACATGGCCATTGGGACATGAACTGTAACTCATTTTTTCTGAACAATGTATGCTTTTTCTTGAAAAGTAATCTCCCATTTATTTCTTTCAAATAAAACTGTACTTTTTTTCGTTGATGCAGAGCTGAATGAAGTTTTAGTTGGTCCAGTATTGGTTTTCCTTCCTTGACCTAAAATAATATCAATGTATATGTTACGGTCCTTCGATATACAAACGCTGATACTGATTCGTTAAAAAGCTTTATACACTGTAATTTCTTTCAAAATAAATGCAGATGCCTTTGTCTAAAATAACATGCCGAATATTCAAGCGCTTAAAGTTATTAACTTGTATAGACAAAAAAAGCCTTTACTATCTTGTAACTGTACACCGTATACATTCTTAATTACATAATTACAATCTTATTCAGAATTAATAGCCTGTCTTAGCGACGATTAACAATATTATATTGATTAATTACCTTGTCGGTATTCACCCTTCTACAAATAAGATTTTATGAACACATAAAATAATTTATGTCGTTGGCCCCCTTTTTCTCTTGATTACAAATTTTCCCTATTACTGAATTGTTACGGTCAATATCAGTTTTTAGCTTTCTACATAAATTAACTTTTTAGCCAATGAGGTCGTGACTTAAGATCACGTGATTCTTTCGAACCAATCAGGGCTCGTAAGCTTTCATTGCGAATATTTTATGGCGAAGGAGAAGTTCTCGCCAATTTTTTTCAACGAAATTCTCAAGATTTTACATTAGTATCTTTGTTTCAAGGTGAAACATTATCGCAATATATTAGTTTATTGTTATTAGAAGTTTATAGAATCTTGTAACATCTAAGCGGCACTCTTACAGTCTAGTCTCTCTGGGCGGCGGTTCCCTTTTGGCGGTTTTGTACCACATAATACCACAAGATATACTGTGGGCGGTTTTGTAACCTCCCAGTTTTACCATTTGGAAAATTATTATAACATGTTTTTTATGTAATAGTTTTAATTAATGCCAGTTATGGCATTTTCAATAAATGCCCTTTTTCATTCAACACATGTGTTTGTTTATATTTTCCCTATGGCAAACGAGTTCGATCTAGACTGCTCTTTCCCTGTTCTGGACAATACATAAATATTCTTACTCTAGAAATGTTCATCGTACAGTTGTAAATAAAAATTTTTTGCGCGTCGTAATTGAAGAAAAACACCCAAACTTATTGACACAGTGTATTAAATGATTTTCCATATTTTCCTTTAAAATATGTTCTTTAATTTATACTTAGTTTTTGTACTTTCTATAGATTTTGTTTAAGTTCTGATGTAATAGATAAGTTACTACTGGAATAAAAGAAGCATTTGACAGATCATTTGTCAAAAGTATACATAGAAGCATTTTATCACGTGATGTGTATAAAGGAATGCTATTGCCGAACGGTTTAATTGATCTGAGTACAATGATTTTCTGATGGGAAGAAATACACCGGTGAGAGAAATCCTGGAAGAAAGAATCAAAGGGCTGTAAGCCCTGTGGTATTTTCCGATCTTTGCAATCTAAATCGTACTGTATATCTGTGTGTATTTTCCTGTAAAAGTTTATTTTTATTATTGACAATTCTATAAGCCAACGCTACTTTTAAACTTTGAATGCGTTGTAATTTGTTGGATACAAAAAATTATTTCTTTCCTTTACATCGCTAGTTTTTAGCTGTTTTGAGAACTACTTGTTGTTAGGTTTGTCGTGAAGCGCTGTGCTAGAGATTGAATGACAGCATTGTAATTCCTGATTTGCGATCAGAAAATACTAAAACTTGATTCTTAAAGAATGATCATAATCCACACCGGTCCCGTAAACACCAAAAACTTAAACTTTACAAATACTTACCACCTATACATAAAGCTTTATATTGAGTATCGTCAGAAGTGAATTTGAGAACAGCATCAGTTTTTGTTCCCTTCACATACCCAAATCGAATATTTGGCAGACGGTTATCATATTCTGTTGAAATATAGTTTTAATTCTTATACAAAGACACTTTGGTTGCCATTGTTTTATGAATAAGTTGATAATGATTATATCTGATGACAATTAATAAATAAATGAATATACATAAAAATTTAATCCATTTATAATTCAGATACACGAGATGTCGATGTAAAATATAACAGCATAACACAGACAAGGGGACAACACATTGTATGATAAAACTTAAATTTAATAAGACAGTTATGACAAAAGTATGCTAAGTATGTATTAAAACATAATTATAAAGATAAAATTGTTATTTTGAAATATAACCAAAATAGGCCGTATTTTGAAAACACTGTATTCAGACTTTATCGATAAGAGCTGTCGTTTGTAATATTCCAATTCTCCAAATACCTTTATATTCATAAATGACGTCACTGCAAATGAGGCTTGTCCATACCGGACCAGTAAAGTTCATCTTTTTTGCCTGTAGGTCATTGTATCTAAGTGGATGGCTTGATCTGTTAAAACACTTTTCTGCGCTTTCCTTCCATTCGTTGTCTACTTCATTATGTGACCCAATATCAACTAAAATTAAAAGCGTCTTAATTGTATACTTATCTATGAGATATTGGGTTTTATCTTATACAAGTACTTATAAACGAAATATCGAGAAATATTGATCAAATTAAATGTACATTTCCATTTCCCGTACTTTCAGTGCATTGAAAAAAATAGTTCCCGTATTTTTACTATTTGTTTTCGCGGAAAACTTTCTTCTAAAATTAGCCAGTTCACAAAATTAAAAGAGTAGTCTTTCGAACAGTAGGGTCTATAGCTTACAAAATGTTTTTTCATCTTTTTGTAAAAATTATCATATTTATACAATTTTTTGAGAGAAAAAAATCCTGTATTAGAAAAAAATCCTTAAATATCCTTTTTTGTTCGTGTGATATAATCTATACCACAGTTTATCACCCAGAGATCTGACAAACTTATTTTGCCGTATGTATATATATAAATTTTCATGTAAGTAAATTGTTTAGTGTTGTTGTAAATGGCATACTTATTATTTTTCTCTAAAACTGTTAACAATTAGTTTTTTACTTTTATATACATTATGGTTTACCATTTTCACAAAAGAGCTTGAAGTATTGTCCGCAGTCGGTCCATTTATACAGCTTAGATAACTGATGTTTATTTTCTGGCTGAGTTTGGAATGTCATACACTTTGATTTGTCGGCGCCTTCAGGGTGATTTTTGACCACTGTTCACGCATAAAAATATAGTTATATATCAAATTAAGCATTCATGTTAACGGTTCATATAATTGACATTCAAACCGACAGAATTTCTAAAACCTCATCAGACAGGCTTCAACATATACGCAAAGGAATAATACATATACTTGTGCTCTTGTTTTAGGGTTCTATTTGTTTCACACATGTTTAAATGATTTTGTTTTAGAACATGATTTGATACAAATGTACTTATATGTGTACACTTATATACAATAGTTTTAAAAAAACAAAACAAATTACTTACACGGGGGAGGCAGTGTTACACGAGGGATGGAGTTCTTATGATAACTTGTTAAGGAGTTCTTGTGATAACTGTCACGGAGTTCGTCGGAAAACTATTATATATACAGAGAAACACTCGTCAAAAATGGTAATTTTCATTTTTAAAAAGTGAGGTTTAGGTGCTAAATTAAATTTTAATGATTAAGCCTACCTTAAATATTGTAGTATGTGTTACTGTCAATGTGTTTCTTGCGCTAAATCACGGCACGTTTTAGCGTTTTTTTATTATTCAATAAGGTTGTAAATACGTATGAAATATATTACGCTCACAAAATGATGATATATTGTTGGTCTTGGTCGAGTGTCTGCAAAGGATAAACAGGTGATAGGCTATCATCTACAGTGAAGATTGAATTAGCGGCAGTATCACGGCCTTAACCACAAAACAAAAATGTTTCAAAACTTACACGTTGTTCTCAACCATCTTTCTTTAACAGATAATGTATACTTTGTGCATCGCTTATCTAAGGGCTAAGTAATTTGTATCATTTTATATCATAATAAAGAAGAACATGTATAAAACCAGGATAATTTCTTCAAACTTATGTTTCCAAAAAGTACGACAATATGATAAAAACTCAACTGCAGTTGGCTATATAACTACCTATCTCTCGAACAAATTTGCAAGTCCCTCAGGGTTAAAACGAAATAAGTTTGAATAAAATATATTTTTGTTATCAATTACAGCAAAATTAACAGAGTTTCATCCACTAAGATTACATAGGGGAAATACCCATCAAACATCGGCAGAAAAATATACATAAAGACGACACCATACTTGAGCGCATTTTATCACGAAAGACAATACTCTACATCAATCCTTTTTCCAGTCTTCGAAATTTGCGTCAGCAAAAATACCATAAAAAACGGGGATAAGATATCCCAGTAACATCTCTTTAACTAAAATACACTCAAAAAAATAAAATAGAGAAAACCTAAATCCCTTAAGAAAGTCCAACACAACAAAATGTAACATGTATACACAGCAATACTGTCGTGCTGAACGATCTTCAAGGATCGAAAATATAACATCATTGATTAAATGTACGGGGAGACCTTTTACAGCCGCCACACGGCACAAATAACACAGACGTGACAATAAAATAGAGAAAACCAGAATCCCTAAAGAAAGTGCAACACAATAAAATTGAAAATGTTGCAGGCTCAGTTTGATTGAGCCTGTTCATGGACGGTACTGGAAAGTGCAAGTTACCGTCCACGCCCGTTACATGTAGCACCGGCTTAAGAAGAAAATGATGAAATTTTGAATTAACAAACATCCGCAGATGTTTTCAACATTATATATCCTCATTTTTGTGCATAAAATTGAGCGTACTACATTTCATAATGATTTACAACCTTACTGAATAATAAAAAACACTAAAACGTGCCGTGGTTTAACACAAGAAACACATAGAACTCCAGGATATATTTTTAGTTATTACAAGAACTCCGGGACATTTAAAAAATCGGGTATAAATTTGTTAGCTGGGGCTTTATGTTTGCAATTTTGCAATAAAAATTAGGTACTTATGTATGGCAAGGATGAAGACTAGAAATAAACAGGCCAATACTTGCGAAATAGCAAATAATTAGGAAAGTTTACTCAAAACTACCAGATTTTAATATGTAAGGCAAGCTTAATCATTATAGATTAATTTAGCACCTAAAACTCACTTTTTAAAAATAAAATTACCATTTTTGACGAGGGTTTTGTAGTATATACAATAGTTTTCCGACGAACTCCGTGACAGTTATCACAAGAACACCTTGACAAGTTATCATAAGAACTCCATCCCTCGTGTAACACTTCCTCCCCCGTGACTTAGGCATCTTTGATATTTCGATGCTTGGTTACATGTTAAATTCTTAAGTCAGTTTCAAAATATATCAACAAATTAAAAATAACTGTAAAACATCTTCATGTAAGAAAGATGAAATAAGATAGACACATACGAATTCTAAAATCATTGACAAATTTTTATATTTTGATTGATATTCAGGATAAAAGAATGCAATAATAATGACAGAAATACATGTGGACTACGACTGTAAATCAGTTTAAAATTAGGACGGAACTTTCAAGCCATGAACTCTGAAAATCTGCCTTATAGATATGCTAAAAACAAAAACTATCGAATTCAGTGCTTTGTAAATAATAAGTATGCACCCTGATGATTTTATAAAGAAAACAATTTGTAAATAAGTACCATCTTTATTTACTTTGTAGATTGACACGCACTCAACGGGAGAAGAAAATTGTAAACTTTCGTCGTAACCTATCTCATCCTCACAATAACACTACAAAAACAAAATCATCTATATCAGATGATAAAAAAGATAAAATCTATCAGAAAATTGTTAAACTCATTTGGTATCAACACAACGTGAGGCTAGGTTTGATTAACGGTAGTGGTGAATACATGCTACATAACATAACATGCTACATACATAACGTACATAAAAGAATAGGGGTGATCAGTCAAACGATCTTCTTTAGGTATACCAATAGGTGTCAGAATTAAAACTTCGATATGATATTTATCATTATAAATAAGTTTCTTAACAAAGGACAAATCAGTTTGTTTTATTAACTTTGAGTCTTATCAAAACCGCATATTTGTAGCATATAAAGAAAATATTACTAAATGGTTTGACTCTACGGTATGATATGACCTACTGTTGTTGATCTGATGCCAAATGTTGGCTTCTTCCCACAGGCTGAATAACATAATCCTTGGGTCATTGATGGTAACGTTATCCTCGCCTTAAACTCTACGAATGGTATGCAAGCTAAAATATTTTTATATACTTTGTTGGATATCAAATGAAATTGATAAGTATAGATGAAATATCCGTACTTAAATATATTGTTTAAAGTTATGTAAATCCAAGATGAAATTAATTATCCGTTAGTTAAGTGTATGTTATCATTTATTGCAATCATTGATTTGAATAAATATCAGAACACGAAGCAGCTTATAGTGGTGAAATTAAATTCGTTGCTGCTTAAATGTTAACATGATATATCTTACAACGTTGTATGCAATTTACAAAGATGACATTATAAATAATTATAATCGTATCACTATGATAACATGTTACTGCAAAACCAGTTTTAATTACCTATGTACTCGAATCCTGTGACAGCTTTGAAGTATCCTATCCAATGCTCCTTTGATATATTAACTTTAAGATTTACTTTCAGCTCACCAAAGAAGAGTTCGTAAGGTGGTGTGGCTAGATCACATGTCTGCCTGGATTCGAACCATGGTAAAGAGTTATTGGTGCTGTACATCTTTTCAGCTGAAATTGTTATCAGTTGTAAAACATGCCTTAGCGATTTAAATGCTACTGGATTTTTATGCAATACGTTTGTTAATTAAGTAAGCTATCACTGAAAACATGATAGGCATTAAGATACCAAGTAGACCAAACTTATATGTAGACCAAACTTAGTGATATTCCGTTGACCCCCATTCACTTCGAGTGACCCGACCCCCGTGTCACACAAAAGAATATGAAGATCACAATTATGGTAAAGGAATTCGCCTCCAACAAATAAATGATAATGTAAGCTTCAATTATTATTATTTTTATCTTTCTGCTGGATACATTCTTTTTACTTCGCCTTTTGCATAAAACGGAGTGTCTTTTACTTTAAATAAAACAAATAAATGTCATTGTACCTATAACTATGTTTGGCCCCAGATTAAATTTCTTTTAAAATAACGTAAGAATTTGTTTTAGATAAACAATTTTGTTCATAAAAACATGTTGTGTAAGGATAAACCGACCTATTTATCACCCAACACTTAAAGTAACAATGTGAAACTATGATAAGTGGTGATCGTCTAGAATGATGACTGCAGATTCGCATTAATCGATTAGAGGCGCAGTATAAATTGCACCCCACTGACCGTAATAAAAAATACAGGTTCATAATCAAATGACCACAGTGAGAAAGCATATGATTACCATAAGACTTAGCAATTATTATAGCGTTCAAATCCACAAAATACCTATTGAAGCAGGTAGATTTTAATTTGGATAAAAGTCTTAGAGTTTGTTGTTTATGTTCCGTAATATTTTCGATGATGAAATTTCATTATTTATTTAGTGGTTTCAATTTTCAATGCCTGAGAAAGACATACTTAGACAACTCACTCGTATTTTCATAAACCTAACATTGTGAAATTTTCAAAAATAATGAATAGTGAAAAAAGGTTTTACTCAATCTAGAACTCTTCTGTAAGAAAATAATTTTTGTTCCTAATAACACATAGTGACCTCATTCTCCGATTCTAAATTGTTAAATTTTGTATTATTTTTATCATTTTTATCTTTTGTATTTTTTATGTACATATGTTTATAGCATCGCCATGGTTTCATTTTACAAGATGCCAATTTACTTTGTTTTGTCATGTTTTGTTATATGTTATACTGTTGTTTTCTCACATGCCCAATTGGGCCTTAAGATATCAATAAAAACTTGAAACTTGATATTTAACAACACTCTGAAATAATTTCCCCAATGAAACGGATGCTAATAATATGCCGAAATGTGTTCCAACAAGAAGATTGTTTTTAATAATGACTGAAATAACCAATGTTGTTTAACTAGATAATAGATATACTCCTGTTTTTGAACGTTATTCATTACTTCGCATTTTAATATTATACAGTTATTTCATGAACAGTCAAACTGTTGGCCCGAGTTGGAGGGGCTAGTGTTTTGAACTGTTGCCCAAGGCCGTAGGCTGAGGGCAACAGTTCAAAACACTATCCCCGGGACCGAGGGACAACTGTTTCACTGTTCCCAAATCACATATGAAATAACTGTTTTATTACCTGATCAATTAGTGTTTTAACAGTACTTGCACATATGTTAATAATTAAACTTAATACTTTAACTATGTGACGTCACATCTGGTTATGATCAAGATCGATGAACTCTTCAAGTAGGAATCCTCTATGACGTCAATCACGTCAGAGCACGCGAGGGAACTATTGACCGGTCAACAGTTTCCAAACGTTGACATTTTTAGAATTTAAGAAAACAGTTAAAAATACCAAATTACATTTATATATGGTATCAGGTAATAATACAAATTATTCATATAAATTTATAAAGTTGAAACAAACAAAGTCAGACCGAAATGTTGCATCTTTTAAATCTTTTTTTAAAAAAAAGATAACGCTGATGTTATTTCGACGTAAAATAATGTTACGTCATAAGTTTGACTTATCATATATGATGAAATTTACCGTTGTGTACTGCTAACAAAATTCAGTTATCTCTCTTGAGGAAGAATAGTTTTATTTATCGCAAGTGCAATAAAGTAAGAAGAGATGGTATCTGTTAAGCCAAAAACATGATTTAATCAATTAACATTTGATGTACATTATATGTGTATGTTATATATGAGATATCCTATTATCACAGCACTTAAGTGAAGTAGTCATTAGAACGACCTTCCTCCCAAATTATAATCATTTAAACGACTCAAGTGTATGGGAAGTTTAGCAATAAACAAACGTAATGTTTTGCATTAAGACCACTTAAAAGTATGATTTCAGCCTACACACTAATTATCATTATTTATAATGTAGGAAAATAACATTTTACTTTGGTTAAGTTTGATGTCGCATCAACGCTATAAAGGTTATCTGGCGACTTTCCAGCTTTACTGGTGGAGGAAGACATCAGGTGCCGCTCCGTGCATCTTTTTTCAGGCACAAACGGGCACCTGGGTAGAACCACCAGCATTCTTTGAGCTGCTGGATAGCTTCTTAACATAACAGTATCCAAACACCCTTGCGTGATTCGAACCCTGAGTAGTGAGGGGCAGGTTATTTGAAGTCAGCGGCATTAATTACTCGACTACGGACGCCTTGCTCCACCCTCCTTTACCTTCCTTACATGACAAATGAATTAAATAGGTAAAAGAACAAACAAACCATGTCCCTCCCTAAAACAACAACAACAATAACAACAAAAAAACAACAAAAAACAAAAACACCAAAACTACAACAACCGCATTATCACATCAATAAAGAACATGGAAGCTTTTTCATTATTAAATTTCTTGTTTCATTACTCAGTCGTTTTAAATCACGTAATTTTGATTGATTTACTGCGTATATAAACTCGAACAGTACAATATAAACTATAATGCACTCAGGCTAAGTACTTAACAATTGTTGAATATGAATCATATATCGAAAAGTCCTATTCGTTTATCATAAATATCCTTATTAATGCTTTAATTTTCGTATATCTATAACTAACTAAATTCAGATTAATTATTGATAAAGTAAAAAACTATTAATTACCTTGTACGAAATATATCCCTATAAATATTAAATAAACACAAACAAGTGGAGACATTTTCAACAAACACATCCTATTACAATGTAAGCAAGAAGTTAAATAGAATCACAACAAAGTTAAAGGGGGAAGATAGAGAAGGAAACATGTCCTTAGTAACATCTCTACTTATTTGGTATGTTTAATTTTAATATTATTAATATATTTGTAGCTGGTAATGACCTGGGAATGTTAAAGATCCTGTATGTTATAATTGAGGTTGTATACCTCACTTAAGTGAAATTTTATATATGTATATATTTATGCTTATAAAACAATTTCAAACATCGAAGAATATGTAAAATATGTACTGCAAATATTTGTGCACATTATATGTAATCATTAAAATATATGCATTCATTTCTTATTGAAAAATTTGACTTAGCCTTGATAGAAAATAAATTTCTTATTAACTCCCTTTGTTTACACGAAATGATTATTTCGGTAATGTCTTGATAAATAATGCTTTCTTGAACTTACCATATTATAAATCTAAATTTGAGCATCATATTTATGATATAAAACCATACAAAAATTGTGTTACAGGATCTTTACGTTATCAATGCGATGATTAAAAGCACATTATCTCCAGAAAAGGTTTTAAATTACTTTTAAAAATATTCGTGTTATTGTTTCAAAATTTTATTTTCTGGCCTATTACCTTAATCACCTTTCACTTCTGTGCTTTTGACTTTAGCACAATTATAGTAGTTAAGTGTTTTTATGGAAGTCAAAATATTAGCTTGTTTATATTTGGCTACTTAAAAATAATCTCACCTTTTCCCACTCTCTTACGCTCTAGAACCGTTATTTAAACGTCATAATACTCAAATAATACTCAAATAAGCCATTTTTGAAGAATCTGTAAGTTTCTGAGGCATAAGCGGCCTTTTAGATCTTGTTTTATTTTGGAAAATATGTAACTTTAATATGTCACATGTTTCTAACTTTAAATAAGGCAAACTCCATACATATATACCTAAACTTCATACATATCTCCTAATGTATCTTAATCTTAAACCATATCTCTATCATAAAACCTACATAAACCACATTTTATTAGTATGCGAGAAATGCATCAAAATATAAACTTATTGCTGTTTATTAAGTATGTTCAACTTGAAAAGAAGTTACAAAATTCCCCTTTATTTTGTTGTATACATCAAAAGGATTAAAATAATCGTAAATCTTTCAAACGTCAAAAAAATGTTTAAAAACCTTACAGATTTATTTACTTTATTTACTATAAATCATAATTGTAATATTTAAATGAAATTCAACTCAGTGAATTCATAATAATAAAGATAATACTGGTCCGGTCAACTTGCTTAACATCAATCTCTGGGAAAACATCTTCATTTTCAGCCCATTCTTCTTTTCTTACACTTTGTTTTAGGCACTGAAATCTATGGGAAAAACTCATTGAAACGTATGAGTAGACTACGTGAAATCTTTTTAGAATAGGTTATTACTATGTGAAATTTCTTTTCCCTTATGTTAATTGAATGCAAATTATTTCTTAGAAAATAGATAAATCTTGATTATGTGCTTTGATTGTACTCACATTTTGTTTGCTACTCACATTAGATGGATAAAGACCAACATCTTCATAAAATAACCATTTTCTCACATTGCTATAAAAGAATTCTTCATTCTGTCCGATTATTTTGCAGTGTCGAATAAGCCTGTATATAATAATCGGACGGAACAGCACGCTTTAATTGCATTGAGGGGATGTGCTTATTCCACGTGTTTCTATCATTTGTATACCTTTTACCTTTTAGCTATTGAAAATAAAATTGTTGTATTTTGTAAGAAAGAACAATGTCAGATGTCACTTTAATTTAGAATTCTTTTTTAATTTTATGATACATCATTTTCATTGACTAGCTAGATCCCTATGTTCCGTTGGTTTCTAGTAATCGACGATTAGTTTAAGCGCCATGCACGATGATGTCGTTTGTTCAGTGTCTAGGTAAATGCCACTTTTCTTGAAGAGGAAATGAAAGAAATAGACAAACGTGAGACCTTTTCCTTGTCTGTTTGTAAATATTTGAGTATATATCTACTGATAATGTGGTTTAACATTTCGCTAAAAATTACAATTTTCTCCGTAATTATATTGTTTGTTTTGTACTTTTTTTGAAAATTCTGATTCAATAATTAAAGAAAGGTAAATATTTTTAAAGAAGAAAATGTTTTTAATTAATATATTACATTATACATTTAGATATGGTCATACATTTATTTACACAGTATAATGAGAAAATAAGAGTTAAACGCTTACCCTTTTTACCGAAACATACAAGACTGAAGTTTTAACGGAATTCAATACCATATAAAGAATAAAATTTATTCGATTTTTCCAGTAAACAATATTTGTATTTCCATGATAATAAATGTTCAATAAAGTATATATCCCAGAAAAGTTGTAAGATGTCAATTGACATTTATAAAGATGTTTGTTTGTTGGAAATAAGCGCATTTAAAGCTTGTATTGGAAACAAAAACTTACAAGATAAATGCCGAATGTAGTTTTAAAAGGTATATTGAATGCTGATTTCCAGTCTGATTCAAAATCGTCAAAAAGGGTTTCTCATTCGATGGTTATCAGTTTTGAATTGAATACACGAATTGATTTTGTTACTTTGTTATTTTTATTACGACATCTTCGTATTTCAATTGAAAGATTGCTAAGACGTGCATGTATAAACGAAGCACATAAGACATTGTCCATATATTCTCAAGACTTATCACCAATATTGAATTTTTTGCCTTTTCAAATTCAAAATGAAGAATAAAATTAGATACACTGACACATTCGCAGATTTCAAACGCTTGATAACGTTGCTAACATTTTAAAGATTAAAGAGAATTAAAGAGCACGTACAAATGAAACCGAAACAACTTTACAACATTCTTATTTTTGATCTGAAAGCCTATGTTAGTTTGAAAAAATATCTAAATTTTTAAACATAAAATTTAGAAAGTTATAGAAATATTTCTTCGGTACATTTTGTAATCTCCTTCATGTTATATTTAACATGTACATATATAATAAGAAAAAGAAGAACTGAAATGCGAATATTAATTTACTTACATCTTCAGATCTAGAAGTGCGTGAATACTTATTAGCCTTTTTTAGAATTGACTTAATGCTCATTTGTCATAGTCAATTTAAGCTTAATTGAGAATATATTTTAGAAGATAAACTGTTAAAATTGTGGTTGACCAACACCTGAAATCTGACTAAAATATAAAAAGACTGCCCCACTATTTTTATGAATTGAACGTTATAGGTTAATTTCGATGAATATTTGTAGAATTTGTTTTGAGCCATGTGAGTTATTTATCTTTCATGTAAAGTAAATTATAAAATTGAAAGGAGTTTTTGCAAAATGTAAACTTTGTTTGACTTTCGCCTGTACAGTCATTTTAGACCATTGTATGCGCATAATGTCACTTTAACTGAAATATACTAACACATTTTGTTTTATATGCTTAGGCGATCATGCGATCTGTTGCTTTGAATTTTTTTTTTTGATACGACAACTCAAAGTCATGAAATGAGGATAATTGCATCACATAGTGACAGAATTCCGTATTTGTATGAACAGCAACATAAGAATTAAGAGCTGTAATATGCAATAAAGTGAAATAAATGTTTGTTAATGTTATTGATTTTTGTGATTGTAGGCGTCCTCTACATTATGATCTTGTTCATGAACATTTTTAGCATATCCATAATCATTACCAATATCACTTGGTACCCCATACACATGATCTGTTTTGCCCTTTTTCATACGTGCATCATTTATATGATTGTACGCATCTTCATTAATGTCGCCAATTGTACTTCCTTTCTCAACAGCAACTTCTTTATCATGTTGATCTTTCAGTCTTTTTGCTGCCTTTTCCGCCGTATCATATGTATCGTCAAGGTTATCTCCAGGCGCTGTATTTGAAATCAATGTGTTATAAACATTATTCTCATTTTTGTCAGCTTTTGAACCTGTGATGACATTCTCTGTTGTAGAGTTTTTGGCATCTTTTTCAAGAACAAAATAAGTATGTGCATCGTCTCGATTGTCTTCTGAGCTAGTAAGTGCTGTGTCATTATTCTGTTGCAGAGCATCCTCATCAATTTGATCATAAGGAGAATTAACAGGGATATCGTACGCTATGTTGTTCACTAAGCCTTGGTCTTTTTGTGTTTTATCTGACATGAACATTCGGCAACAGACTACTGGTAACATCGCTCTGAAAAGGTCAACGTTTTTTTATTATTACTGACTTTTTCGACCTAAGGCCGCCTGATTACACCTTCACTTTCGCTAAAATTAACAGTAAAGAAATGAATATAGGCATAATTTTCATTGGCCAATTCAATACTAATAGCCTGTTCGATTGATACTTTAGGAGAGTTTCCGTTATAGGTAGAGGTATGCTCGATTGCGCGATGGCAAGAAGTGTTGGAAAAAGATACAAGTCAGAATAAATATAAAAACACAATTATGATATTTTCTAGATGTTTCTAACAGCTTTTCAATATATGTATGAAATTAAATATGACAGATCGCATTTTTGATACTTTTGCGTTCGTCTGGGTTTTTCTTCTAAGCTGTTTTAGTCATTATATTCTCTTCTCGAACTGGACATAAGACGAATGAAACGAACTTTCGGCTAATTAACAGTTGCAAAATTTTCCGTGGAATTAGTGTACAGTATCTACTAAATCTTTGTTTTATTATAAATTCCTAATCAAATCAAATTCTATTTTTTATTAAAATCAAATAATGTAAGTAATATTGTTAATATCTAAGATGACAATTAATGGGGAAAAACATTGCGGGTAAAATTAACTGAAATAAAACTATTGAGGACGAATAAAATATACTGTTTGCGGTTAGCATGGTTAGTAGTAGCTCATCTTATGCAAGTTAAAATGTTTGACTTCGGCCGAGTATCTATTTAAAGATACTTCTTGTTTAACTTGCCTTTATAACGAAGTTTAAGTAAGTCGCAACCAACTATTACTGATGTCTGTCCAATCATATTTGCCGGCAATTGCAATTTAAGATTATATTTTGTTGCAATACAACCGATTGAACTATGAACGAATAAATCATATCCTTTCTAAGGACTGGTTTTTATAGTCTTTTTGTCTTACGATAAATTTGACAAAGTAATCTTTTACAACAAGGACATTTAATTAGAATGTGCTGTTAATGTTGTATGGTAAAGAGTATTGTTAATATAGAGAAAAATGCTGTTTTATTTTGGAGTTGTTGTATTGAAATTCAAAGTCGCCAACGCAAAATAAAGGTTTTGTAGAAAAAAAATAACGAATTGCAAAACAATATCGTTAAAGGAACTCCACTGAAGTTTATAAGCCTATAAACATAAAAATTTAATTTTTCACATAGATAAACATGAGCACTTAAAACAGAAATATAAATAAAATATAACCAAGATATATACAAAAATACAATGTCAATCATATGTTTGTGCTATTCTCAGTCCGATTTGAGTGAAAAGCGTGTAAACGCTTTTCAATTTTGTGTCATTTTTTACTATTATAATAATTATTCTGGAAAAACGGAGGGAGATAATGATCTGAAATTTTGCACATACGTTGTTAGTATAGATCTACATCAACTGGAGTAATAATCTCAAAAAATTATTTCGAGTCCCGTCATGTCAAAAAACCTCAGTGGAGTCCCTTTAAGATACATACTTTTGACATAATATACAAAAAGGAAAAATAACAATAAAAAATCAAACTATACCGTCTCTTTAGAAGTAGAACAGCTATTACGGCAATAACGACAATCAGAAAGATTGCAATCGAAATGCCAACTGGGACTCCGATATCAGAAGCTGTAAAAATGAAATCAATCATTATATTCAGACAAGTTTAATACTTTTAAACAGTATTAAGCATATAATTTGTTTAGCACGAAATGAAATCAGTATATATCATACAACGACAGTTCTTAATTAAACTAAATATTTTTAACTGCTTTTGGAAAGGCAAACGTGAATTTTAATGTCTAGATAATTGTTTTACAGCATGTAGGATGCTTTGTAACTATAAAAAGATGGGAATAAAAGTGAAACAAAGTGTTATAAAGTAATGTAAACAAAGCAGTATCTTGACGTACATACAAATATTAAGTAAATACAACTGTACTACTCGTAATTGCCAAAACCGCTAGAGATGAAAAGATGGTAAAAGGCAACTGGATAAAGAACAAATTGTTTTGAAACTATAATGTCCATAGTTTGTATTTTTTTCAAACTTGGACAACCATCTAGGTTGAAACATGAACAAATTGTAAGCTAATATGATGGTTTTCTCATTTGAGAGCAATCCTATTCGTGGGATTTGAAGACATACTTGTGAGAAAAATTGTATAATTATATAAATTGCATTTAACTTAATGTTGAATGTCTATGCCCAAAGAAAATGTTCATAGTAGATTTGCCAACACATTTGAAATTTGTTCTTAGACAGAGAAAGAATATCAATATGTTATCAATATCGATTATATTAACAACCCATACATCTCTTTGGCACGCTTATAGTTGAATTTGTTGGCATAGAATTTGGTGATGAATTTAATTTACTATTGCCTAAGCAGTAAAGGTGTGTTTACCTGACTCCGTTGTATTTCCACTTGTTGGTCCACTTGTGGTTGGTTTTCTTTCTTAAATGTTAAAAAATGAAATGACCAGTGTGCATCTTTTTCTTTTTTATTGTCATTCATTTCTGATGCAATAATGAAAATAATTAATTAAAATAACATCAAAATACACATTTAACAATCGTATTGAGTATCTTTAAAGGGTATAAAGCTATATCTACAAAATATGTTCTTATAAAATGTATCCATAATTTATGGTCGATTGAGAGTTGTAGCATAGACATAGAATGTCTCAATTATTGAACACACATGAATATTGTACTTAAACAACATAAAATGTTCAGCAATAAAATATTATTCTGCTATTTCAAGTAGGATTTAGTCCGTTCAGCAATGATTTCGTGCTTGTGCCATTCGCTTTTAAGACACTTTTCTGCTCATATTTATTTCATACAAGCATTTTTGAATTCTTCTTTATTTTTTTTAAAAAAAGGAGAAGAAAGATGTAGCAACATATATTTAGCTTTATACACTTTCAAGGTCATGTAAGAAATGATTCCAATAAGAAATAAATTATCATTTTTATCTATTTAAGTATTCAATTGGAAATATCTTACCGGTCAGATAATCTATACATTCGACACAATCAAACAATTTGGTTCGTTATATATTCAAAGGAGAAATCTTTACTAAGCAACATCATTGTAATATTTCGGCTTCTCCAGTTAACACGTTTGGTCCTAAGTATTGCAAACCGCCGTATATTGCTAACATATTCATTACATATGCTATTTCGTTCTGATCTATCAAACATTTCAATTCAGTGAAACTTATTAATTACAAATGAAAAAATAAATTTAATCATGAATAACTAATAACCCCGTCTGTTCTCTTAGTTTTTTGTTCTACATAAATAACTTGTAAAAGGTGTACAATTTTACCAGTTTCACAAAGAATCTTTTTCTCTGCAGTGCCACTGTCTTCAAATTTTAGGACTATGTCATCAATTTTCGTTTTGTGCAGATAGCCGAACTGTTTTTTCGTCTTTGTAGTCACTACATCTGAATTGTAAGTGAAAATTTCTTTTTAAAATTTTCTAACGATTGCTTCATTATACAGACTACTAGTATTTACAAACCAACAAAATTGGAGATGGCGCTTCCATAGACTATTGCCATTTTAATTATTACATAATCATATCTGAAACAATAAACATGAAAACAACAACAACAAAAACAACAACAAAAATACATGCATTTGAGCCATAAGGCAAAATGCTTGAAAATTAACACATATTGGTCTTTATCTCCGCCAGGTATTTCATTTCTACTCATTTATACATTGTAAATGAAACATATTATTATATATTGTTATGTCCATGTCATTAAATATCACAAAATGTTGCATACTTTCATGTATAAATGTTGAATTCTGCGTACACCGGTGCTAGGGACCTGAACGGTTCCTTGCACTTTCCAGTACCGTCCATGACCAGGCTCAATTCAATATTTTTTGGCGTTCTTAAGGGATTGTTTTTCTCTATTTTATGATTTTTTGTTAGTTTCTGAAGTCAGAATTTACATTATCTACTTCTAACTTCTATAATACCAGAAAACACATCATAAAATTGGAAAATCTTAAAGTAATTGCAGTTAAGATGTTAATGTTGATCGAATGTTTACATATTTCAGTGCTTTATTGCTCAAAATTACTTGCTTCTCACAAACACATTATTAAACCAGTAATAATTTGGATGCTAATAAGTTATTTATTTTTTATAACGCGTTTTAATATTTAATGAGTGACGTTAGAAGTTAACTTTTTCCATTTTAAGTTCCAACTTTGTATACTAGTATTGAAGAATCTTTTTTACTTTAAAACACATTGCTTCATTGACTGTATGACTTGTAGATAACATTTACTTACCGTTAATGCTGTATATGACATCACTTCGAATAACTCCAACCCATGAGCTCGAGGATGATAATACCTTTTGATTTTCTATCTGTGCTATAGAAGTTGGATGTCCCAGATTATTTAAACAAAAGTTCATAGCATCCCTCCACTTGGCTGATTGTTCTTTCCCAGTTTCGTCTTTTGCGATAAAGGTTCCATTTTCTTGTGATCAAATATAAATGGTAATGCGCATTTTTAATGCTGGTCAACAACAATTTATTTCAATGCGGAAACATACACGGAAAAATTCTTGTTTCAAAATAAATTGAATTGTAAATATTATATCATAGCTTCAGCATAATATATAATGGTTCATTGTGTATTAAAGTGCATTATATTGGATGATAATTATGTGGAGATATCTTGTATTATGACGACGTTGAAAGAAATATACTTGAACAGCATCGTGCTTTGTTCTGAGAAAAGTACAATAACATTTATTTCAACTCGGTTGGTAAAATACACTAAATATAACCACCCAATAAATTAGGTAGCAAAAGAATCTTCGATTGATTTTCAATAATAATATTTATTTGGAACAATTTGCTTATAATTAAATGGTTTATATTTCCGATCCTTAGAGATCATTCAACACGACATTATTGTTGTGTTTGTGGTATTTTAACTATTTAGCATTTCTAGTTTGGTGGTTCTAATATTCCTTGAATAATGTTGAATCACCCTAGTTGCCTGTTCTTTAGTTTTTTCTTTTGACATTTATCTTTGACATGCAGGCTTCATAACATATGATCCCTTTCAAAATTCCATTTTGTTTAGTTCCACCCATTGTTTTCTCATTTAGTGCACATGCTTTCTATTACTTGGGGACCATACGCCGCTTTTCATGGAATGGCACGGAATTATCACATTGCATGTTCCAAATTAGCCCCCGTATGTGTAGTTTGCACTTGAAAGTACCGTCCATAATCAATTATAAACCGCATATGACATGTAAACTATCAAATATATCAAATCTTGTTATTTTTACATTTCTAAAATCTTGGCACATTTTCTCATGTTTAATTTTATTGAAATATTTTGGCTCATTCGAATGCATGTAGCTTTAACTGATGTTTGAGAGTATAAGGGACACTTGTAGCTAAGACTTCGTTATATGTGGACTTAATTTATTAAATGTGTGGCACACGGATGATATTTTATCCAGTAGAAATGGAAATGTGTAAATGAGCAAAAACTGTTTTTACTTGATGCACATATGACTCTTAAATGATCTTTGCAGTTTGACCATTCCAGTTGATCATTTTTATCATCGTCCATCTCATATAAAAGGCACTCCCCGTCTCCCATATAGGATTGTGCTGAAAATGTTATTGTATACATATCTATATGAAACCAATTTGATAATATCCGAAGCATTGTTGATAGGGCAATTTGCACGCATACGAATTCGGTACCCTAGACCCACAGTATATAATATTATGATAATGTTATAATAATTTCTTGAGTTAAAAGCGACCTGGTCCTTTTTGGCATACAGTAAAAACTCTAAAAAACCTGACCCGTCCAACGGGAAGTGCTTTCTAACATATGTCACTTTTAAGGAAGACTCAATCAAATCGAGTGCGCATTTTTCATATAATATGTTGTTTCTATTACTTTTGAGGGATCAACCCTTTTGCAGATTTTAATATGAACATATTATATTTGAAAAGTTATCTACATTCTTAAAAAACTTAAAAACAAATATTTGACGTACTCGGACGTATTTATCTTGTCTGTGTTTATTGGTACTTAATTTTATAGCATATATTAAAAACTCATATCTGTAAAATTTCCATTCATTAACTTCCTATTCAAACGAAACGCTTTGATATATTAACGATTCAATTATATGATTTAATTTAACAAAAAAGGAAGGAGAAAATATTAGGGGAATATTTCCCTCCCATGTAAGAACTGGTGTCTTACGAAAATGTGCAATATTATAGCTCACCCTCACCAGCCGATTCAATTCTGTAAAGTGATATATATCCATCTCCACCACAGGCAATGTCATCGTGATCCTCACAACCTTTGGTACATTCCTGGTTGTAAATGTCTGATAGTTCAGCATTACTCAAACAGTAGCACTGCAATTAACCGTCTTAATCTGAGAACATCAGCTTTTTATTTTGATGAAAATAACAAAACGACTTTGACAGTAAAAGATTTATGAATGTCAAAAGCAAAGAATTTGAAATAGTAAAGAAGCTGGCTTAAATTGTAAAATTCGCAATATAGGAACAATGAAGTGAATGTACATGTTGTCAATTATATTTGACCAAAATTAACAAGCAAAATCTATAAATTGTCTATCAACTTTGTATCATTATATAGGCAAACGATACAAAAAAATTCCGGATAGTTGCAATTCATTTTTCGTAGGAAATGATAACAAATGAATAGATATGAAATATATCGGCCAATTAAATTGCACTTTGAGATTTTAACATGTTATAGTGAGAAGTTACAGTGTGTAAGTTATTCTTACTTTCTTATTACTTATGCCTATCAAACCTTTCGTCATGCATGCTGAGTAACACAAGCCTGGAGTGTTATGCTTAAATTCCGCTTTTACTGTCATATGTTTCGCTTCCATACAACCTGAGATAAAAAATGTATTACTATGAAACTATGTTTGCTAGACAACACCGACTCTGATTATGTATATTCATAATTTAACAATATAGAGAAAAACGAAAACGCTAAAACGGCAAATTTGGAAATGTTTCATGCTTGGTTTGATTGGGCCTGTTCATGGACGGAACAGGAGCGTACGAGTTACCATCAGCACCCTAGCACCGGCTTATTTAGAAATTAACATTTAAACACTACAATGATGAAATTTTGTATTTATAAACAAACATACCTAAAAAATATCAAAATGTTGTACTGTTTATAACTGTTATTTTTGTTTCTAAAATTTATATTGAGAAAAAGTGTTTACAATTTGACAGGAACTCGAATAATAACATTAAGAGTAATATAGCCTCTCATCTTTGTGGTATAAACATACAAAATATCACGTGCTGCTGTAAAGTACTAATAATATAAACATTGAAAAGTCAAATAACAAAGATATACATTCTAGGATTAAAATAGGATACTATTAAATGAACGGACATGTTTGATATTGTACTCGGACAAGATGTTAATTTTAAATTGAATCTGAGCACTTTAATAGGATACTTACCTATGTAATGGAATGCCGAAGCAGCTAAGAAGTATCCTACCCACACATTATCCACATCATCTTTACCCGCCAAATTGCACTTTACTGAGAAGTCATTTGTTTCGCCTTGAAACATGATAGTAGGAGTTTCCATTTTACAATCCTCAATGGCTGAATTCCATGTTGTCTTATTTTCTGTTATGAATGTAGCACCTACGATAATTTATGAACATTTATTACTTATGAATTCCATATACTCTTATAATAATGTCATAACACTAATATTTTTGGTTAAATCAACCCCTGATTTCAGAGAAATGAAGTATGTTAAACAAAATTCCACATCATCTTTCCTGATTTAAATGTGTAACTGTATGTTGTTAAGAAATGATCGTGTTTTTCTTCCTTTTGAAATTCTTCACGAATATTGACTTTCATTGTGCACAGTGAAATTACAAGTCAGAACAAAAAAGTATTACAACTAAACAAAGTTAAAATGTAGCAAAGATCCTAGCCTAATTTTTGAAAAATGTATGATTTTTTGCTTGGCTTTTTTTAAGACCATTGATTCCAATACTTTGAGTGTTAAGGCTAATATACCATTTAAGCCGGTGCCAGGGGGCGTTCATAATCTCTCATGGACAGACTCAAATTTATCGAGTCTTCATTTTTTAAAATTATTTGTTTTGGTTCCATTTCTGTCAAAGGATCTAAAATTCCATGAATTTATACATTGTTCACCTAGCAAAGTCTTAAGTTTTTCTTAGTTTGCAAAATCTTTTTTTGTTCTAAATTTATTGCAATTAAAATAAGAATAAAAAAACAGCGGTATTAAAATCCTAACAATTTTCCAGTGTCGCTATATGGTGTTTGAAATTAATTAAGATAAGCTGTTGTTCAAAATTAAAAGATATGTACGAGCATATTGTGACTTGCGAGTACAATTAAAGTGATGGCGATATTGAGATTGATTGAGTTTCATTTCTTGGCTAAACTTTCGGAACTGAACAAAATGAAATGGAATTCTGAAAGGGGATCGGATTTTAAGCTGGATGTAGTTTATCTAGAAAACCGCACGGAGATCTTTATTTCGATAAAATTAACGACTGTTCTTACAGTTTTGGTGATGATATATTTTTTAATTCAATTAAATGCAAATATTTTTCACTGCTTTTATAATCAATACGAAATTATAGCAGAAAAAATATCTAAGTAACCATTTAACAAAATATTTAATTATAAAAATCATACTCTACCCGCTGAAAATAATATCGATACAAGAATTAAATATTGTCTGAAACTAAACTCCATTTTGATAATAGTAATTTACGTCTAATTGTATTTTCCTGTTTACTATAATATATCAATATCGTTTCCGGAAGTTATAAGTAACATAACAGGACACGCTTAAATGTTTCATGTATAATATTAAGTGTGTAAACATACTCTTTGTAAAACTGTAAACATGAACGGATAGTACAAAATAAACACAAACATGTTTATGAACATTGATATCAATTCCAAATCTAAAGGAGAAGAAGCATTTAATTGTTTTATTCATATACTTTCATACATGTGATTGCACCTTGTCCAGTGCTTCAAATCAATTATTCGTTATCTTTTGACCTACATGCTAAGAGCGTGAGCTTAGTTTCCCATCAATGTAAGATGTTGAATTTAGTAGAGGTGAATAAAATATCATCAGCTTACTGGTTATATATAAAAGGTTACTATTAACATCAGCTAACGTGTCACAACGCCCAAAATATATTATTCCCCGACTTCACCAACGCGGAAAATAACAAGTTTAGTCTGTTAGATTTAATATTGGCACTGCTTTTCCATATTCTCTTAGTCAATTTAATTGTTCATACAAAAGTGCAGTTAAGTGGCACAGTAAATGTTTACTCCCCTTTGATTCGAAACCATCCATATAACATATGTATAAGTGCATGTTTATTTTTCAATCAAGCTGTTTTATCACTGATAAATTTGATAGCATGTTTAGGCAATATATACAGATTTTGATTACATTTTTATACAATAATGCACAGTTCTAGTTCAAATGATCAGTAATACTTTCATGAAGGCCGGTATGCCTGAATGATTCATTAGAAAACTTTTAAACCATAACCCATGTATTATTATACTACAACGCATCAAACTTAATTCTAACATGCTTAAAGAAAGAGAATTGTTTAAAAAATTTTTTGAAAACCATTAAACCCGGAAAATTTAATATTTATGACGGCATTTTTAATTGCGCCCACATGAACTTATAAAAAATAAAGTTTTCCTTTTGTTTTGCCCTTTTTTGTCGTAAAATTGACGTCCTACCGTTTAATGAGGGGAAAACCTTTAAAGCGTGTTAAAAATTACAGTATATTATGTAATAAAAAAAAAGGGGAAAATTTTTAAAGGGGAAAATTTTAAAAAGGGGGACATGTTTTTTTCATTTTTTAGTGTTTAAAAAGGGTTTAAAATTAAATGTTTAATTTTCTGACTTTTTTCATTCTTTTTAATAAAAATTGCTTCATTCCTTTGTCCCTCAAACACTCTTTTTTTTCTACTTTTTATGCCCACACTCCCTTTAATTTTTGGGTCCTAAAATTTTAAAATATAAAAAAGGGGGCAGCTAGAAACTGTGCATTGACAATTAAACGTAAGTGGCGATCAGTTTCACAATGTTTCGCAATAACAGCGGATTGTGGTTATGACACTCCGGGTTTGTGTTACCCTGCATGCAACAAGACAAATTTCATTAGTGTCAGTAAGTCAAATGTAAGACATATTTTATATCGTGGAGATTTGAACGTTTAGGATTAACAATGCAAACAATCTTAGTTGTAACTAATGACAACCTAATTTAAATATATGAGTGTATTTGATGTAAAATAAATTAAGTTTGTATAACTGAAACACATTTGATTATTTTTACAATAGAACTCATACATTTATTAGAGGATGAAAACGAGGGGGGGGGAGATTGTAAAAAAATCTTCTGCTTGGAGGAAAAATTTTTTTTCCCAATCGCAAAATTTTCCCCAACATCCTTTCAAAACCTAAAAAGAAATAAAAAGGGAAAAACAAAATCGAGGGGAAATTTCTTTGGTTTGGTGTCATTTCAAGTCATGACATAATTATGTAGTGGCGATGGGTATTTAAATGTTGATATCAAAAGAGACATAATTATGCTAAACAATCTTCAGGAATTTTATAACACACGCCGATAAAGAAGATAAAAATACACAATAAACTAGTTTTTTACTGAGGTTCTCACGCAAACTTAAAATTATGAGAAATATCACAGTAATGTTTGACATTGTTGCAAACGACGATGTATTGCATAAAAATTTTCACGTCAACAAAAATCTGAACCTATAAATTGCCAAAAATGTGACAATATATAAAAATGTCTGTATTTCTAATTAATTTAAGCAGTGTCAACAAGCTATCATAATGCAAGACATCTTCGGTCAACTTGATAACAATAGCAACTTCACAGAAACTGATGCTACCATTTCGTCCCCTCCAATGGCAGTGTGTGAAAACTTATATTTAAATTGAGACCTAAATTTTATCAGTGAATAAATTACTAGCTTGTGCATGCTTGTAAATGAGGTTTTGAGGCCTAGCATTTTCTTATTAGTCAGTGTAATAAAGGCATGATGTGTCGATAAATATTTGGTTATCTATCTTATGCATAACATTAAAATGAATTTAGATAAATTTCACATATCAATAGAGAACCTAGACTGAGAAATCCATAAAACAGCATTTTGTTCAATGTCAGTAATTACATTTTTTACACTACACATTTTTTTTATTTCCATGCTCTTCCACTTCCAGTTCGATTAAAGTGTAAATAGCAGCAAGAAAGTAAGCAGACTAATCGTTATGACTTTGAGGATTTTTGACAAAGATCTGATTTCAAAAATGGTAAGCGATTTGTTTTGCTCTCAATATAGGACAAAAAAATATGAACAATTGTTGGCACAGTATGAAACAGTGACACTTCTTTACCCTTTTTAAAATTTAAGAATGCTGTAATCTGTTTTCAATACGCAGCTGTTTCTTTCACAGCATGGAACTGAAGTTCAAAAGTTATGAATTGATAGGTACATGCCACCCATAGCTTATGTATTGATGTTTTCAAAAGGTGTTTCAATTTTCGATTTTGTGTATGATCTTGTTTTCCAGGAATTTATGCAATACTATTCATATGCATATACCAGATAGTGGATTATGCATGTTACCGACAGGACCCATTACTCATTTATTTTTTGAATTTTGCATGCACATTAGTTACGCTTGTGTAAATTATATGGACTAGATGTTTTTGTTTAAGACAGTTATAATTTCTTGATTTATGAATGCATGTACTGAATGGACAGTGGTCATAGGGACATCTCTTGTTAGCATATCCACAATGAGTTTAAACCAGGTTTGATACATCTATAATATATATATCTCCTTGTTCCTGTTGTGTGTCTCATAGAAATAAAATACATTGAGCCTTTTAAAAAAACAAATATTCAACAAGGAAAGGCGAAATTTAAAGAACGCAGCCCGAGACACAATCAAGTAATATCAACAGGACACCCTGAGAACTGTCTCAGTTATACAAAGTAATCAATACATGTAATATTGCATGCTTTCTAAAGTAATTTTCAGGGATAAATATAATAAACTTCATAGGCCAAATTCCATCAAAGTCACACGATCCAAATAAGTGTGTGTACAGGCATATAAAATAAAAAAAATGAAAGTCTACTCATAGTCTGTTCTATAAAGATTTAGCTTAAAATGCATCTGAAAACTTTTAGCCTATTATTAAAATATTTTGCTGCCATAACTGTTGTTTTATTCTTTGATTCAGCAGAATTTGTATCTTAGATACATTTTATTAGGATAACTGCATATGGCAAGGCAAAAATTGACAGTATATCAAATATTATGAACAGCAACATACGAAATAAAAAGGAAGGAAAAAAAAACACTAAAAAACACGAAAAACATAATTACGAAAGAACACCCAAAACGGCAAAATTGAAAATGTTGCTTTGAAGTGCATCAGATTCAATCAAGCGAAATAAAAATTTGGTTAATGTTCTGGATTTATGTGATTGTATGTGTCTTCTACATTTTGGCCTTGTTCACGAACATGTTTAGCATCTCCATAATCACTATCAATATCACCTTGTACCCCATACACATTATCTGTTTTGCCCTTTTTTATACGTTCAGCATTTATATGATTGTACGCATCTTCATCCATGTCACCATTTGTACTACACTTTTCAACATCTTGATCTTTCATTCTTTTAGCTGCCTTTTCAGCCGTATCATAGGTATCGCCAATGTTAGGTCCAGGCTCTAAATTTGAACGCAATGTGTTATAAACATTATTCTCATTTTGGTAAGCTTTGGAACCTGTTATGCCACTGTCTGTTTTAGGTTCTTCTGCATCTTTTTCAAGAACAAAATATGTATGTGCATCGTCTCGATTGTCTTCTGAGCTATTAAATGCTGTGTCATTATTCTGTTGCAGAGCATCTTCATCAATCTCATCATAAGGAGAATTAACAGGGATTTCGTATGCTATGTTGTTCACTAAGCCTAGTGTGCGCTTTTCTGTTTTATCTGACGTAAACTTCCAGCAACAGGTAACCGGTAACATCGCTCTGAAAAGCAAAGTGTGTTTAAAGGAATTTTGTAACGAGGTTTAAGTACAGTCATAACCACTTTTCACATATGTCTGTCCAATTGTACAGTGGAAATTGTAAAGTTAGATTTAAATTTTGTTGCATTTAAACAGAGCTATGAATATATAAATCATATTGTATTCAGGGAATGGTTTTGCGATAAATGTATCGAATTGCATGTAATCTTTTACAACAATGACATTTTGATTAAAATATACTGTAATAAACTTTCATGATAAAGTGCATTGTATACAAAGAGAAAAATAGTTATAGTTATGTTGACATATTTTTGTCCAAATATACAAAAGTAAAAACAAAGGAAGAAAATCCAGCCATACCTTTTCTTAAAAAGTAGGACAGCTATAATTACTGCAATAACGACAATAAGAAAGACTCCAATCGAAATTCCAACTGGGACTCCGACATCAGAAGCTGTTAAACAATGAACAATGGCATTACATTCAGACAAGTAGTTTTAAACAAAAATCTGGAAATCAGTTTGTTTAGCACTACATGGAGACTGTTAATGTCGTTTATTATTTGCTTGCGAAAACCATTTGTATTATCTTTAAAGCATAAGTTCAAATACTAACAAACAGTGTGGTAAGAAAATGGTTTCCTATCAAATTCATTTTTGTATTTGCTCGTTTCCATGTGTTTAATCAGGTCCTTATCGATTTGCTTTTGTAGTATTTCAGAATCTTCATATCGTAAATACATTGGTGACATTATGATTTAATGTGTAGTACAATCCATGTACATGTATATGAATAATCCACATAGTCAAGGTTGAAACTTTAAGACAGAAAAGAACATTATAATGTACTATAGATGTAGATTGTAAAACAAATCATACATTTTCTAGGCAAACTTATCGTTGAGTCTTTTGGTGTCGAACTTGGTGTTGAGTTTAATTTAGTACTGCCTTGACTTTTCGTTGTCGCCGTACTTGAATATTTGCTATGATTCATCGTTGTGCTACTGCTTGTTGATCGACGACTTGGGGTTGTTTTTATAGCTGTATTTAAATTAATGAAATTACCAGTGTGTATTCTTGCTGGTCTTATACTCACTTATTATCATTTAAAATGGTGTACAATTTTAGCAATCCTATTGCGTACCTCGACCTGCCATTTGTTTCTATCGGTCAGATTATCTCTTTAGGGAACACTTATACAAATGTATCTATATAATTAAAATGTTGACACGGAAGCTCTTTACTTCACATAATAACTATCATTTTATCTGCCCCAGGCGATATGATTTTAATGGTTTTGTTGTTGCGATTAGTGTTTAAATGAGACAGTGCCAAAGATCATGCATACGAAGATTGTAAAACTAAAATAGATCAATTTCGTTTTTTATACATAAAAGATTATCTTTTAATAGAATTTATAAAACTGAATTACACAAATGTACTAGCACATGATTTTTTTTCCAATATCACATGAATGAAATTAGATGAATTTCATGTGCATTTCTATTAAACTATTAAAGATATATTCAATAAAGTATGATATATAGTACATATGCATGTACATACATATATAAAACATTATCATTTCAAACTATATCTATATCAATATCTCTATACCCATAACATTTAGGCAAGATATTAATCAAATATTTTAGTCAAGAATCATTTTGTTATCCAAATCACTTCAGTTAAAATATCAAGATTTGTTATTAGTTAAATATACATTATATGACGATATATAAAATACTTCCCTATTTTCAAAAAATACGTCACTAAAAATATGATACGATTAATTCTTTTACTTTATTACAATAATAAATTAATTGTTCAACGGTTTACCAGTTTTACAAAGAATCTGTTTCTGTGAAGTGTCAATGTCATCGTCAAATATCAGAACTGCACCGTCACCTTTCTTTTTAAGATAGCCGAACTCTTTCCATGTATGTGTTATTGGTCCATCTGATAATAAAGTAATTTTAATTAAAGACCTGTTATAATGTTTAACATCACATAGACATATAATTAGTTATCCTATAATGATCCGATCTTTATAGACCCTTTCATTTAAGACCGTATTCAAGTTGTCGCCCTTGGATGACGTCATTGGGGGATACGGTGGACAATGCCGATACGATTAAGTACAATAAAAGAGGGATATAAAGATCTTAATCCTTTCTCTTGTAAGATTGGCAGATTGAAATTGCCAAAATTGTGTGTAATTGAATAAGATATTACATAAAAAGGATGGTGAAATGAATAAAAATGTTTACTATATTAAGGCTAACGATTTGTTTTAATAATAGACCATATTGCTGGGTAACTGATCATGATTATCATTTTCGTTTGATTCTTTATAATGAAAATTTTACCGTACTAACTTGCTAATACCAGAGATATAGATAATGTATCTATGTGTCTGCTAATATACAATACCTAAAAGATATTTTGAGTTTCAAAAATGTAAGGATTCTGTAGTTTCGAAAACGGCTGCGTAATATTTAATTGCAAGATACTGATTTATTGAAAATCATTTTGATTTAAGCATTACTTAGACAAAGAAAAACAACAATATAAATCTATGTTATTTCAAAACAAATGTAAAGACATAATTAATACCATTAATTTGTGTCGGCAAAAAATGCACTCTCAAAAAACAGTCCCAGATTCACACCAATATATTTGAGCTGGTATTTAAGTAATGTTTTCAACTTGATACTTTTTAATTCATACTCTGCTTATCAAATATTTCACACATTCACAAAAACCAAAAACAAGTTGTGGAACACGTTCACAGAAATTCGTAATTAACTGAATTATAATTTTACGTATTTTTGACTGCGCCAGTTGGTAGGACTCTGGATCGAGTATCAAATCAGTTAGACATGACCAATTAAGTCCCTAGGATGATCCATAACAAAATTCGGACCATAAATATTTTGACAACTAACAAAAGTGACGTAATCTGATGTAATGTTATAACTGCACCCTGGTGATTTATGATATGACAGCCAAGTGCCGATTGTATATACAACATAGGAACCCTCTTAATTAATATGTTACAGTCCAGTGGCGCTTTTATATGCACATCTATTTATCTATAAAATAAGTTACTGGGAAAATGGCTTTATTTTTATAACCAAAAGAATAGATTTTCGGTATCAAAATTATCTAATTATCATCTGTTGCGAATCTAAAATTATAAAAGTCAATGCCATATGGTTTTCGTTCTTTCCGGAATATTTATAAAATTATATCCTGCACTGGTTATTTGAAATATTTTTATACGGCATAATGAAAATGAATCAGTAAGTATTGACAGAATGCATTCTGTTATTGTTCTATTAAAGCTTGAAAAACTATCATTAAAAGACAGTGGCAATCTTATTTTCATGTTTGTCACAAATACGCCGGAATTTTCTAAATGACAGAAAATAAAACAGAAAAATGGCCATTTAAATTTATAATAGGCAATTTCAGTGTGTATGGGTGTTTATAAAATATTAAAATTTCATTTAGTTACTAGCTTTATACCCTTGCATTAGAGAAAATCTAGATCTAATAAATATATTCACTTTGAAATTTCGCTGAACATTTCACTCCGTAGCGAGAATAAATCTCAATCTTTGTTTTTGTATTTTTTATATTGTCTTGATATGAATTTATGTATGCATGCGTAAATTTTTACATGTTATAATCATAATAAAACGATCAGTATTTACGCATTTAACTTTTCAATAAGCTAACATTCTTTGCGGCCTGCATAGTTTTATCCCCCATTTACGTCACATCCGGTAAGGGAAGTAATTCTTTCCTGACTGTTATCCCTTATATGAAAGGGTCTTTTTGTGAGTTTTTTCAAAGCTCAAATCATGAAAATTATATGTGATATTATTAACTGTCAAGATCATAAAGAAATAAATCTCTGGCATTTCAAGATGACAAACATTAGATGTAATAGTAAATTTTCCAATTCTTTTTTTTTCTGCGACCGAAGGAAGGTTTGATTCTTTATTGAAGAGCGGATATCACACTAATTTAATTTGATAATCAGCAGGGATGCTTTCTCTTCATAAAATGCTGCTTACATTTAATATTAGCTGCAAATTTCTACAACAATTTTGAAACAACAATTTTATAAATATTTATATAGATTATAATAACAGAATGAAAATAGTGAATTTGTACCCAAAAGGCTATTGATGTTTTATGAATATATGTAGTTTCAAAATGGTTCTTCTATCCTTTGGAACTACCATAGTCTAACAGAGGATATATCGCGTTTCTTACAGTAATGCGTGTTGGTATGCAATTATGTAATTTGTTCCTGTTTTATGAACGACTTTAAACTAAGTCTTTATTGTAGCTTATTATTTAAGATAATGGTGCACAGTGTTAGCGATTTCACTACTGTTATACAACTATCTTATAACTGAAAGTGAAACAAATCATTTTACCTTCAATACTGTAGATCACATCGCTTTTAATAACTCCGACCCATGATGGCGTTGACAAATTAAAATCTTTCAACTGCTCTATAGATGGTGGTAACATACGAAGTTTGAAACATATGTTCATGGATTCTCTCCAGCCGCCCTTTTCTTGGATTTTACCTTTATCGAGTGCGTTTTGAACAGTGTCTTCTAACAAAAATAAAATATTGATACTCGATAATTATAACAACAAAGATGTCACATACATGTACATATAGAGATAAAACACAAGTCATGTTGTTTCAAGGCGAATATTGCATACTTCTGCATGCGATTTAATTTGTATTATATGTATATCAAAATTAACGTGACTTGATCTTATTAAAACACCTTTATAATTGCCAGAAAGAGTATATCGAAAAACTAACTGCTCGTTGAAAATTCTCTAATCTCATTTTACTAATCTATTTCAAAGAAGCACACAACAACTGCATGTTTTATTTTCTATGTTACTATGTAAATTATTTTAAATGAAAATATACGAACCCTTTGAAATTAAGATATGTCAAACAATTACTCATAATGCATGCTTAATCAAACCAATCCTAGAACATTTTCAATTTTACCGTTTTTTGCGTTTTAAAGGCACATTACGCCTCAGAAACTTATATATATTTTACTTCTTTAGAAAGGTCAAATGTTTTAATAATGGTATTAAAGAATACTAGATTGTTGTTACCTAATAAAGTAGTGATAGACGTGAAATAGAAAGCTTTTGAGAAATAAAGAAAAAGATGTATTTCTGAGGCATATTGAGCCTTTAAGGCGTTTTTGTTTATTTGATTAATTGAAAACCGATTGTTTCTTTTTTGTTTTAAATTTAGAAATTGTCTATGTCGAAGACATGTGAAACGTACACTGCAGATTAGTCATTCATGTATAGTCAGTTGTTGTTTTATCATTACAAGTTAAATCTTTATAAAGAGCATAAAAATGAAAAAAAAAATTAAGTTGACACCTAACGACAGCAGATTGTCAGAAGAATAACTTGAAAACACTTCAAATTGTAGATATGACATAATTTTACTTTTTAGCACATATTGCTATTAGCTTACATTAATACAATCAGTACTTACTAAGCGAACATATAACTCCTTGACTTTTCGTGCAGTCTGACCATGTTAAATCCGGCCCTTCATTTTTTGCTTCATATAGAAGACAGTTCTCATCTCCGCTGTATAATTTAGCTGAATATATGATATTAATGAAATTTGAAGAATCGGGTATTATTTAATACTAATTACATTATAGAGACACACTGAAATAATGTGTTTCAATCTAGGACAACTACTTTTGACCATGGGAAGTGCGTTTGAGGTCCTTTGAAGACACTGAATAGGAATGAAATATTCAAAGAGTACAAAAGTTAGATCAAAGTTCTTCTTTTTGATTTTTAGAGCATGTGATCAGACATTACTGTAGATATAAGCAAGATAAAATCAAATCAGTATATATTTTGGTCTACCCTCAATACAGTTTCCTAATTATTCCATTCTGTTTAATATTTTAACACAAGAACCTATCTGAAAATAATTCATTTCTAAATCAAATTGATAAATGTATTTCATAATAATATTGTCATTTATATGGTAAATAAAATATTCACCTGCTGGTTCGAAACTGTAAACTGACATACATTCCTTTGCACCACAAGCAATATCATCGTCATCCTTACAATCCTTATTACATTCTTTGCTGCAAACCTCCAATTGATCAGTATTATTTAAACAGTAACACTGAAAATATGATTTGAAACTTTTAAAATAATCTAACTAAACATAACCATATCATACAATAACAAAAAGAAAACGAGTAAAACATTATAAATTAGAAATACAATCATCAGACAATATAGCTTTGCCTATCAGATTACTGTATTTTTAAAGTTCTACAGAAGTTTGCAATTTCATCTCAGGTAAGTTGCGCCATTGCGGCACCATTTTAATAGAATGAGCGCGTGCTTAAGATGACGTCTGTCGGGTACTTCTCGTTACATAAGATACAAAAAGATAGAATGAAAAGAAAAAGAAATCACAACCACAAACAACAACAAAACAATAAACAGGAGTAAAAACAACAAATAAGCATTAAACATTCAAGTTTAGTTTCAATAATACTATTTTCAATGTGCATTTATTTCTTTTTTATTACTTTCTTTCCACTAATGCCTATCGGGCCTTTCTTCATGCAAGCTGAATAACACAAGCCTGGAGTGTTGTGGTCAAATTCTGCATTTACACTCATACCTTTCATTTTTAAACAGCCTGAAATATATACAATGTTTGTATATATATAACAACATTATTTACTGTGATTGTAAAATTAAATTTATAATGCAAATTGATAAAATCCAATGGATCTTAGAGGTATCCGTTCGTATTTTCTTATTAGTTTATATTAAGATGATCTAGAAAAATAATTTGTTCTAGTATTATATGTGGAACGTGATTTTCATGTAATTTCAGACTATGTTTTGTTTTTATAAAGCATTTTAACTTTCAATGAGACTAGGTAATGGCTACTATTCAATATTTAATAAATTGGATCATGTACTAACCAATGTAATGGAAATATGCAGCCGCTAGATAATATCCAACCCACGCTGCTTCATTGCCCAACATGCCCAATACATCATTATCAACTGTCACTGGTAATTCCTCGTCTTTTCCTTGGAATATTATGTTAGGCGTTTCCATTGTACAGTTGGCTGTAGTCCATGTGGTCTTATATTTGGTAACAAATGTTTCACCTGTTGGTTATTTATGAACATTATTAACATAATTTTTTTTCATATAGATTATTCTTATTTCAATATATACCATAATAATTTGCCAAATAAGACATTATTATTGTCAAATATACCATTACATTATCAAAATATACCTTAATCATTTCCAATTGTACCATAATAAGTTCAAAATTTACTTTAATTAGTTACAAATATATCTCAATGATTTCCAAATATAGCATGATAATTTCCAAATTTACCAACATAAGTTCCAAATATACCTTAATGATTTCCATACATACCATACATGCCCATATTATAATAATAATAGCATTATAATTTTACTTCGCTGGTGCCGGTGTCGAAACAACATCTTGGTTCAAGAAAATGATGAATGAAAAGATAATATTCGTTCAATATATAGTTCCTTTTTAATTTACGTACATTTTGATTATCATATTGTAGGGTAAATATTAAAAGACTTTTCATTCGACAATTGGTTTTGTAATTATATGTAAATTTGGATTTATATCTTTTTTACTTATAAGTTATATAAAAAGAGTTGATAACGACTAAAATCAAAAGAGAAAAGCAATCATAGAATACTATTTTTCATTGTTTTTATCCTTTTTTTCGGAACTTTTTTTTGTTGGAATATTTTATAGAGTAAACCTTACTTCGTCTATAGCGTTAAAACTAAATGTACAAAATTAACATAGCTATATCAAAATGAATAAAGGAAGGCAGAAACAGCTTTAAAATATTTAAAAATCAATTTTATATCAAAACATTTATGTTCTTCGGCTGTAAACTTTATTGTCACGAGTATTTGATAATTTCTAATAATTTGTTCATTTTTATAGCCTGTTAATGTTTATCCGCAATTATGTTATGGCATACTTATATCATGTTAAAAAATGGAGGTCATCTTTTTAAATATTATTGTAGCAGTGCAAGTATTTTATGAATGGTATCACAAAGGACCTCAATTGCATAATGAGAAAGGTTTTTTAAAACATTTTAAACATTTGAATACAGTGTAGAATTCAAGTATCAAGTTACACTCTTAACTAAATATTCCCTTTTCTATTGTTAAAGAAATGATTGTGCGTGATATTAAGAGAATTGTACAAAATATTGAAAAGACTCTTAAACATTTATTTTGATATACACATGTAACAGGACTGGATTTATTTTCACAGATTATTAATCAATTTGATGTAGGTCTATACCATTAACTTTTGTGAAAAATTTAAGAGTATTCAAATGTCAAGTAATCCCACATAATATCTACTTTAATTTGATCTTTAATTTCCTGTTAATTGCATCCGCGTTCGAGCATGATCTTTAAGTAACACTAATTGTATCTTATTTGAAGACATTGATTTGCAGTGTTATAGTTAACTTGACGTCATGATGGTCGTCTTTTACCTCATTTCATGAATAATATCATTCTTACAAAGGCTCCACTGCGGTTGAAAAGCCTGAAACATAAAATTATCTTGATCTAAAGTTTTACTTGACCCGGGTGAGTTTTCATTGTTAGGACGCGGTTGCACCGATTGTAATTTGTTCTATCAAACTGTATATTAGCAAAATATTAAATATCTTTAGTCATTACTATATACCTCTTTGTATTTTAATTATATCCTATTGAAAGTTTATGTTAGCACGGCAGCAATTCCATTCTAGTTCATACACGTGAACAATGCGGATTTTCCTTGATGTAATGTTATTATGATACAGGGTATTACTGTAACAATGCAAATATTCGTTTACAACTTATTTTAAGTCGGAACACATCGGCTATTATTCATATTAACCTCGCACTAATTATGGATTGAAAATAGTTCTACCAATTGGTTTTAAATAAAATTAAATATATTTTTGACATTCAAAGGTAAATAAAGTCTGTTTCAGTAAAACATATGAAAATGTCCAATGGTGTACAATTTAAACAAATCCGAATAAATTTTGATAGGTAGCTATTTAATACTTTCGATTTTTACAACGATTACCATAATAATAAGTTTATAAATAATGTACTGTTTACTTATTATTTAATAACTTATTTTTGTGGACCTTTACTCGCTATAATGGAATAAACTTAATCAACAACTACCAGCATTGAATTACTATTTGTTTACATGTTTGCTTTCATAGAGTAGGTTAGACAGAAAAACCGTATCCGTTTTGTGTATTCTCATAACGGAAAGGACCGAGAAGCTACGATTGCTTATTTCAATTCTTTCTTCGGGTAATATAATTTCTTAATTTTAAAAGAAAAATTTATCAACGTTAACTTTTCAAAAAATATATTTTGTAATTATAAAAGTTAAAAATTATACCCTACCGCCAGGAATTAAAATCCATAGAAGAATAAAATATACTCCTATCATATACGCCATTTTGATAATATCCGTTAATGTCAGTCTAATACTTCCTGTTTACTATTATAATAAAGTGACTAACGTCTCCGGAAGTTATAAATAACAGGATACGCTTTTACTGTTACATGCGTAACATAATGTGTAAACAATGTTAAACCGTAAACAATAATTCTTTATAGGGTATTTGTGATAGATTTGACCATAATTTTTAGGTTTAAAAATACAAATGAAATTTATTTATAAAACAAATCGAGACTTTTTATTAGCAAACAATTCTAGACAAAAACGTCAAAATATCTTTGAATTTTTAAAAAGTAATGTTTTCCCATAGCTGCTCTGAGGAATGTGTAAGACCCGGTTATTTGCAACATTAAATGACTTTGTATTTACTTTATTTAGGTAGGAAACTTAAATATTATTCAGCAGTGTTTGAATAATAATAGTGATTAGAGTTTAAATGCACATTATACCTCAGAAATTCATTATCATTTCATTAAATTCTTAAGAAATATCAAATACATGTTTGATATTGTTTAAATCATGAAAGATATTTAACGACAGAAGAAAGTAGCGCTGAATGTATGGAGGCTATTCGTTGCCAAAAATCCAGCCTTGTTGATCTGAGTTGAACAATTTGTTAACGGACAAAATACAATTGTCTTTCTTTGTATGTAAACTCCAATGTTGCATTCTTGGATTGAGTTTGCCGATTTAACATTGTAAACATGCATTTCAACAAAATACATTTTGTTAAACGACAAAACATTAGCTGTTTTGCTGAATTAGTAGCATTACCAAGTGTTCGAATACTCATTGTTCGTGTATACGCCCAGCCAGCATCACCATATCGGGCCGATATAGGATTAATGTCGGCATGTCGGCAAAATATGCCGACTATTGGCCGACGTCGGGCCGCTGCAGTGCCGACATATTGAATATTTTGAAAAATTCTAATTGCAATGCCATTGTTTACTTAATAATGTGAATAAATTGTCCTGTGTATGATTTCAATTACTAGAACAATATCAACCACATTTCGTGTTAGATCAAAAAAGATACATCGGGTCTGCGTCGGGCCTACATGACCTATCAATGCAAGTATTTTGTATATCGGATTGACATCGGTACGATATTGCGTTTTCTGTTGAATTGAAAATCATGCAGCAAATAATTGTAATTTTTGATATGAATTTCTAAAATAATCATAGATGAGTTTGGAAATGATATGTGGTTTGTTATTAAATTCAATATTTACGTTTTGACTACATAAAAATCACTCTTTTATTATATCTTAAATGAAAAGCTTGAAAATATTCACTGCAGTCCTACAATTAACAGATTGTAAAGAAAAGCTAACAAAGAAAGGTGATGAAAAGCATGTTTTATTAATGTAATGATGATTCAACAAATCTGTAAACGCTGTTAATAATTTGATTTTCACACTTAAAATTATTGGAAAAACACAATTTATCTGTTTGTCTCTTTTTTAGATGTAAAATCATGTTTGAAAATATTTGTCACATGATTTCGCGGGTAGTGATTGTCATTTGCACATTTAAGTTAAAATATGTGTCTTTATTGTCTAATTTTGTAGAATAATTATCTTTTATTTTGTGTTTTTGCAGGTTGTGCCAAATGCTTGCTGCTAGATGTCATCAACATGCTAGCATAAGGATGATACCTGGTCGATATAGGACCGATATCTTTCTACTGTTGGCTGACATCGCACCGCCATTGTTTTGATGTAGGCCCGATGTCGGCAAGAAATATCGGGCCTATATCGTTAAGATGTCGGCCCGATATTGTTCTGCCGATGTCGGGCCAACATCATTCCTATTTGCAGCCGATGTTAAAGCCGACATCGGGCCGTCATAGAAAACCATGTCGGTTTGATGTCGGGCCGATATAGAATGTTGGCTGGGCGCCGACAAAACAGAAGTTACATTCTTAGCTTTAGCATAATCCAGCTTTACACGTTTTTCAATAGGAGATTAAATAAGCTCCGCCCATTTTCCCGCCCACTACATCATCGTAAATAAACGAATTTATCCGCTCATTTTCGATATTTACCGTCGGCGACATGAAGCGGCTTCGTTCCGTTTACCACACCTTTTAGGTGTTAAGTTATTCACTAAACATAATTCACTAGCATGATTGTCATCCTATGCCTTTATACAATCAACATCAGCGGACTTTAAATGATTATAGGCATATAAGTTTTGAAACGTTGTAGGTATCACAATTCCTAGAAAAAGAAACTTAAAAGAAATAATAAAAAACTCACCAGGCTACTTACTGCCTGAGGTTAAATATTTTTCAAGGCAGTAAAAGCTATTGATAAGACTATATTCAACGACAAATAAAATTTACTGAGGGTATTCTAATTTGCATAGGATTGAGTAACATTTACAGTTAAGCTGCTACCTTACCACTTTCAAATTTTAAGTTGACATAAGATAGACATTTTGATACGACTTATTACTAATACAGACCAAATTCTGGCTGTTGTCTTCCTATAAGTAGCATTTACTATAACACTAGTAACCTTAATTCTAGCGTTTGACTTCACAAGAAAAAAACGTTTAACAATAGTAAAAGTATAACCAAAGTTGTATGTACCCTTTCGTACATAACTTTTTATTTTTACCATACTGTATAAATATATTTTCCCTTTTTTTACCATTTTGTTTTTCAATAATAATATTTAAATGAGTCCAAAGGTAAGTATGTTGGTTATCAATTTATGTATACCTTGTTTATTTTATCTCTTAGAAAGCCATCACTTACAAAACTTAAATAATATTCTGTGTAGAATTTTATGTACATAAAAAAAGTCCTCTGCTTTTGATCAGACAGACAGCAAGTCTAGGTAACAGCTATACACAGATTGTAGAGTTGCTATTGATTCAGTACAATGCATAAAAGGACCTTAACCTACGCCAGCTTACATATATTTAATAATAAAAGGCTAATTCACATCCTATGACTCAAAATACCTCCCAATGGAGATAAAACAGAGATGCTAGGATACACTGAATATTTATTTCAACATTAAAATGGGACACAAGTTTTTGGTTACACAACGGAATTATCGATAGTAAACTTTGAACTGTTTCGTAGTTATACACTTGGTCAAAAATATGGGTTTTTTTCTATAACTCAACGGTCCTTTAAAGAAAGAAGGCACAGGCTTATTGTTCAGTTCTCTTTATCCGTGTTGCCAAAAGTGACTTCCATGTATCGCATTCTAGTACTATTTGCTGAATGTAAAAGATATGCATACGAGTATTACCGTGTAACGTTTGAAGGCTCACATACCCTACCGTTCATTTCTACAAATAGTGGTGTGTGTCAATATATATAGGAAACATTCTCTTATGTTAATTCACCAACTTTAGTTTTTGCATATTATTATGCTCATTATCAATATAAACGTTGTCACATTGTTACATTATATCTCAACCAATTTTACATTTCTTGAATATCCTGTATTGCGGAAATAATGTTTAAATTAAACAAAAGCCAAGACATGATATCATTTAAAGATTTTCAAGATTCAAGATTTTATTCAATTAAACCAGAAGGTCATAAACCCATGTGGTACATATATTACAAATAAATTTTGAACAATATATAATATTACAAAATATACATGCATAATATCTGAACATACCTCTACATGTATGTAGTATATGTACACAATCATTTTAGTCTCTTATATATATGTGTTCATAAATTTCAATAGAAAAGGGACAAAACTATACATGAAACGCAAATTACACATTAATTTGTGTTATCTCCCATGCACTGAGGCGTATTTATAATATGATTTATCAAATTTTTGATTAGTGAGAGTATCTAATTATGTGTCATATATTATCTACTCATATATTGTTGTAATCATTAATATAACTATTTTGCTTCAAAAACCCATACAATTCTGATTCTGAATAAAAACCGTATCATGCATAAGAATAGAGACTAACAAATTACACGTTTTGAATATTGTTTTTGTATAATAATCGCATTTGCTGTTATATATATATATTTTTTTTAATGTTGTCGAACTGTTTGAGTATTCCAGCTTTACCGACAAATAACGAAAGAACTAAAGTGGTAAAACTTTGATTTGAATTGAACTTAAAAGCGTAATAATGATGAGCCCATAAAATGCGTATAATATGTGACTACACCCTTAATTTGAAGTATCACCCGAAACGAAAGTTGTGACACTTCAACACAAGGTATCATTTTATTTAACAATTATTATCTCATTTAAAAAAGTGAGGTTTACATAATAGGGTATAATTATTCAAACACGTCATACACTACATTATTACTTATATAAAAATATACCATATCAAATCGATAATAACATGAAAGCATACACACTAAATACTGCATTTCTTATTACAGTGAAGTAATTTTAGCATTCAAAGCATTAATTACCATATAATACAGTTTTTCTCAAAGTAAAAGCCTTTTCAGTATACAATGATAAATTCTTAAGGATTTGCTTTTTACCGTTCATTACCAATTCTATAATTTTTTGCATATTTGGTCGCTTCCAGTAATATTTTGGGATGAATTATTTTCTCAAATCATGATACAAAGAACATTCTAAGACAAAATGGTACTCGTCTTCAAGTATATTGCATATATTACATTTCCTTTCATTAACTGGTGTGCTCGTAGGCCTGGTCCACCGACCAGTCTCTATACATAATCTGTGCGAAGATAGGCGTAAACGTGACAAATTGATACGATATTTATTAATAACAACAATATCTAAGTACGACTGAAAACCATGATTAGCAATATATTTATACAATGAGGCTCTGCTTGAATCATTTAACCTACTAGACCAATTTTGAAAATTTTAAATATATGTAGAGTTCGAAAGAAGAAAAGACCAAAGCTAAATGGATTTATTGTCTTTAGACATGAAGAGAACAATAAATATATATTTCACCGGATAATGTCTTTACTTGTATAAAATGTAACATTAATAAAAGATGAAATGTACAGCAAATACGTTTACATGTAAAAGGAAGATACATTATATTATTAAAGTATTATTATAGTTTAATACATAATATATTTTGTTCTGAAAAATCTGTATTTTCTTTAGAAATACTAATTTAAAAGTTAAAATTTGCTTAACTGATTGGCATCCGTTGCATGTTTAAATTTATAACCAGCACGGGGAATTGTATACTTTGAAATCATTTTGTAATTTAGAATCATTCCATGACAAGCGATACGTCAAATGCAAAAATTTTACCGGTATATTCTGCCATCTGTAAATATAAACACATTTATTTGATTTAGTTTATCTATTCCTTTTCATATAGTAATAAGTGTATTCAACACCGTGAAGATAATTGTATATTTATTAAATGTGTATAAACATATCAATGTCAGTTTTCTTTTTGAATGTGTCTCCAACAAACTGAAATATCTTACTGTTATTGCACTTGTCATGAAGCACCCTAAATTATGCTTTCCAGTGTCTTTAATATTCTGAATTGCGTGTGTATGAATACAAGTGTCATCATAATCCTGAAGTGCGTTTGTATGATTGTACGTTACATCAAACATCCTGGGGTGTGATTGTATGATTGAACGTGTCTTCAACATTTTTAAGTGTTTTTGTATCATCGTGCATGTCTTCAACCTCCAGAAGTTTCTTTGCATGCTTGTACGTTTCTTCAACATCTTGAAGTGCCTTTGTATGATTGTACGTGTCTTCAACATCCTGAAGCATGTTTGTTTGAGTGTGCGTGTCTTTAACATCTTGAATCGTGTCTTTATGATTGTACGTAGATGCAACATCCTGAAGTATGCTTGATTGATTGAACGTGTCTTTATCAACCTGTAGTCTGCTTGTATAATTGTTCATGTCTTCATCATCCTTGAGACACTTTTCATGACCTGTTCTAGAATATCCATTATATTCCTTTTTTTTAATATCTTGCGTTACACCATAGGCATTATCTGTTTTGCAGTCTTTCAGTAGTTTTTCGTTTAAATGATTGTATGGATTTTCATCTGTTTCTTTAATTGTTAACTTTTCATCTGATTTGTTCACTGTATCATGTTGGGTTTTCAGCTTCATAGCTGCTTTCTCTACTGTATCGTATGTAGCGTCAAAGCTATCTCCTTATTTTACATGCAACTTCAATGTGTTATACGCCCCTTTATCCTGCTCTAATCCTATATCGGCCATGTCACCAATTGTCTTAGTTGCATTTTGTTTAAGATTAAAGCTAACCTGTGCATAATTTTCGTTGTCTTCCTGCACATCATTTACTGCGACATTGCTTGTTCGCGGTAATACCTTATCAATCTGTTCATAAGGAGAATCAGAATGGCCTTCATATACATTGTTGACGATTAAGGATGTATCCATTGTGCATTTTGACGTTATATCAGATGAAAAGATGTTACAAAACACGATCGGCATTTTCCCTCTAAAACATATTAATAACAATTTTACCAGTAACCAGTTGTTCCATAAAATAAATGTGACCAAATAGATAAGTACTGACAAAATGCTGGAAATGTTTTTAAAATCTTATCATTCAAATTGGACATTTTACACTATTTACAGTATAATTGTTGAAAGGGAATATGATTTTCGAAATTTTATTAAATAATATGTCGCGGCATATGTTCTTTTCTGAGAAATTTAAACATAGGAACTGTTTAAATATTAATACGAAATGGTCCGCAGTAGTCTTTGGTAGTAAACATTATAATAAAGCTGAATTTATTCCATGGTTTCATGACCTTAATACAAAAATACAATACCGTCTCTTTGTTAAAATAACTGCTATAACAGCACCAATAATTATTAGGAAGGTGGCAACCGATACTCCAATAGGGATTCCATAATTATAGGCTGAAAACATTCAAGTAAATAATTAATTCAAATTAAGTGAGTTAAGATTGAAAAATAAATTTTTATTATGAAATGGGCACTCTTTATGTATTCTTTATAACAATCTTTGTTTCCAAAGCCTGTGAGTCTTAGCATGCATTTTAAATACATTTATTGTTCATTGACCAATGGAACAACATGCACTCATTATAATATTATAAAACGTGGCCAAACAAATTAAGGAAAAATATTCTTGATTTTGTTTTGAAATGCTGATGCTTACAATTACAAAAATAAACTTACATTTTATATTTTTTGCGCTTTTCATTGTGGAACTATTCATTGAACTGATTATAAAACTGGTCGAAGTAGAACTTTGTGGAGATATTAATGCGCTGTCGCCTGAACCTGATGTTGCTGCCGATGTTGATTTCTCACTTGAATTTAATGCCGTTGTTTCTGTAGTTTCAATTAGGGTATTCAATGCAATATCTATAGATTTATATAATTATTCAAATAAGTATTTCGGTAATGATAATAATAATTAATTTCTTAATTTCAATCTTTTCCCCCAATACTTTAATGACATTAATTTCATCTTATTAAAATTCGGAATACAATGTATTTATTGAAATGAACATTATATTAACTAGCAAGTGCGCTTTGACGTTTTCATCAATATGCCACGTATTGTAAGAAAGTGAATTCGTACCATTTTTACACAGAGCATGTTTCTTCATGTTGGTTTTAGCGGTGAATTTCAACAGGGTCTTACTTCCAGATGTTGTTCTGTTGAGAAAGCCAAACTTTCTTGGTTCCATGACTGTAGCTAAATCTAATCAATACAAACAAGCAGGAGTTGTTTATTTTATCTAAGATAAAAAAATATTTATTAAAGTGACCATCCGCATTTAATGGTATATGGTGATTGAACAGATGAAATTTAAAAAAGTGTACATTTTACCATAATTCCTGTCAATTTTATAGTTAATTTCGCATTAACGAGAGACAACTTAAGTTTCAGTAAGTATCCATCGGAATTGATCTGTAACGTTCTATTGATAATGGAGTGGGCGGTCTTATACATATATTTAAGGTAGATTTACATTTTTTCCAAAAATTTTTTTTTTAAAAAAAACCCTTTTTTTTTGAAAAAAATTTCTTTTCCGTTTAAAGAGCCCAGTTTTTTTTAAAAAATTAATTTTAAATTTTAAAAATAAAATTGGGACCAAAAAAAAAAATTTTTGGGGCCAAAATTTTAAAATTTTAATTTATTTTTTCCTAAAAACATGCATTATTTCTTTTTTTTAAATTTTTAGGGCCCCTTAAAATTTTAAATATAAATTTTGGAAAAAATTTAAAAGGAAAAATTTTAAAAATTTTGGGAAAAAAAATTTTTGAAACAAATTTAAAAAAGTCACTTTTTTTTTTTAAAATTTCCCCCCAAAAAAAATTTTGGGGGAAAAATTTCCCAAAAGGGGAAACCCCCGATACTTTTTTACAAAAAAAATTTCAAAAAACTTTAAAAATTTCGAAAAGGGTTTTTAAAAAACCCAAAAACCCAATTTTGGGAAATGTTTTAAAATAAAAAAATTGAAAATTTTTTAGGGGGGAAAAAAAAAAAACCAAAAAAAAAACAAAAAAAAAACCAAAAAAAAAAAAACCCCCCCAAATTTCCCCACAAAAAAAGGGATTTCCCCGGGGAAAATCCCCAAAAGGCCAAAACCCAAAACCCAATTTTCCTACAAAAAAACCCAAACCCAAAAAATTTTTCAGAACAAAAAAAAAAATAATAAAAAAATTTTATTTAAAAAAAAAGGGAATATTTTTTAAATAAAAAAATAAAGGGTTAGTAAAAACTACAAATAAAAAATTCCATTTCCCACAAAAAAAAAAAAACCCAAAACCCAAACTTTCCCCCTCCGTCAAATTTTCTCCCAAAAAAGGGTTTCTTTTTCAATGAATTTTAAAATTTAAATGGGGGCCCGTTTTTTTTAAAAAACCAAAAAATTTTCGTCCCCCAATGGGGGGGGCGCTTTTTTATAAAAATTTCTTTTTTTAAACCCGTAAATTTGTATTTCCTCCCCAGGGGGGGACATTTTTTGATGGTTTCCAAAAAAAAACCAAGGGGCCCCAATCGTAAAAACCCTTTTTAAAGCCTTTTAAAATACGTTTTTTGGGGGGGCCCGTTTTTTCATCTTTCGGGGGGTTTCCTCAAATAAAAAAGTTTAAAAAAAGTTTTTAAAAAAACCCAAAGGGAAATTTCCTTTTGTTTAAATTTAAAAAACTTTTTTTAAGGGGTTTAAATAAATTTTCCCCCTTGGGAAAAAGCCCTCCCCTTTTGTGGGTTTTTTCTTTTAAAAAAAAAAACGGGGCTTTTTTTTAAATAAAAAAAAAAAGGGTCCCACATAGACCCCCATAAATTTCCCCCGGGGGGCCCCCAAAATTTTTTCCCCAAAAATTCCCTGCAAAATTTTCCCCTGCTTTTCCCCCAAAAAAATTTTCCCAAATATACGCCACAAAAATAACCCCCCAAAAAAATTTAAACTTTTTTTCCCAATTTTCATCCCAAAAAAAAAAGGGCCCCCCTTTTTAAAAAGAAATTACGTTATTTTTTGGAATACGTTGTTTTTTAAAATTTTATAAAAAAAAAACCGTTTGAAAAAAGGGAAAAATGAAGTAAAAAATAAATAACAAAATTTTTAAAATTCATTGAAAAAAAAAATTCTTTTACTTTTAACTGAAAAAGGCCTTTTTTACTTTTTAAAGGGTTTTACCAAAATCCCGGAAAAGGAAACCTTTAAAAAAATTTTTTAAATTTGAATTTAAAATATTTATAATTTTATAAAAAATTTTTTTTTCCCCCCTATAAAAATTTAACAAATAATAAAAAATTTTCAAAAAAAAAATTTACATAAATTTAAAACATGCCCTTCGGAAAATTTAAATTTTCCCCCAATAGCAAAAAAACCACTAGAAAAAAAAAAAAAAAGTTTTTTAAAAAAAATTTTTAATCTAAAAAAAATTTAGAAAAAAAAAAATTCCCGGGCCAAAAAAAAACAAAAAACCCTTTTAAAATAAAATTTTAAACTTTAATTCAAAAAAGGAAAAAAATTTTTTTAAAACAAAATACCCAAAAATTTTTTGAAAAAAAAAAAATTTCCACTAAAAAAAATTAAAAAATTTCCCCTTGGAAAACAACCCGGAATTTTTAAAGGGCCCCAAAATAAATTTTGGGGTTTTTCCCCCCCTTTTTCAAGGGGAACCTTTGTAAAAAAGGGCCCCGGGTTTTGGGCCCAATTTTGCCCCATTTAAAAAATTTTAAAGTCAAAAATATGAAAAAAATATTTTGAGTCCCTAAAGGCGGGAAAAAAAAAAAATCGGAAAAAAAACATAAAAAAATCGATTTTTGCACGAAAAAAAAAAGCGGGACGGGGGGGAAAAAAAAATTTTAAATTTTAAAATTTTAAAAGGCCCGCCCCCTTTTAAAAATACGGGGAACATAAAAAAACATAAAAATTCGGGTTTAAATTTTAAAAAAAAAAAAAAATTGTAAACTTTCTTTTTTAATTTGGAAAAGGATTTTTTTTTAAAAAAAAGGGGCCAAAAAAGGTTTTAAAAATTGGGGGGAACAAAAAATTTTAAATTGAAAACCAAAAAAATTTTTACCCCTTTTTAAAAAAAATTTAATTTTTTCCACCCAAAACCCCAAAAATTTGAAAAAAAAAAAAATAAATCCCCAATCCCCCAACTTTAAAAATTAAAATTTTTAAAATTTTAAAAAAGGGAAGGTTTTCCGGCGGAAAATAAATTTTAAAAAAAATTTTTTAAAAAACTTTATTTTCCCCCATTTTTTGTGACATTTAACCCCCCCCTTTTTAAATGAAAAAATTTTTGGAAAAAAATTTTCCCCCTTTTTAAATTTAAAAAAAAATTTGAAAAAGGGAAAAAAATTCCCAAGAAATTTTAAAAGAAAAAAATTTAATTGGACCCCCCCCCATATTCATAAAAAAAAATTTTTAAAATATTCCCCCATACCCCTTTTTCCCTTTTTTAAACCCTCCCTTTAAAAATTTCTGCCCCCCCAAATGTTTTTTTTTACCTTGGGATTCCCTTCAAACCCCCTAAAACCCCTGTTTTTCCCTAAAAAAGGAAAAAAGCCCCCATCTCCATTTTTTCCCTAGGGTTTACTTCCTTTCCCCCTTGGGTTAAATCCCCAAAACCCGGCGGGTTTAAATTTTCCCCTCTAAAAAAAATTTTCCCCCTTTCCCAAAAAACAAAAACCCTGTGAAATTTAAAAAAAGGGCCCCAATAAAAAAATCCCAAAGGGCCCCAAACCCCTTTTTCCTATTCCCAGAAAAAACTTCTGTTTTCTTTGGGAAAAACAACTTTTTTTAACTGGCTTTAAACCCCCTTTACTAAAAAAATTTTCCCTCCTCCCCCCCTTTTTCCTTGAAGAAAAATTCCCAAGTTTTTCCAAAAACCAAAAAATTTGGGGGAAAACCCTTTTCCAACTTTTTTGGGGAAAAAAAATTTTCCTTGTTTTTAAACCCTTGGTTTTTTAAAAAAATGGGGGGCCCCCCGGGTAAAAATTTTAACCCAAAAAGGGAGTTTTAAAAAAACCCTTTTTTTCCCCTTTGATTTTCCCCCCTTTTTCAAAAAAACGATTTGGGTTTAAAAATTTTTTTTGCCCAAAATTTTGGGTTTAAAACGGAAAAAAAAGGAAATGGGGGAAAAAATTAGGGATAAAAAACTTTTCCCGGGTTCCCCCAAAAGCCCAAAAAAACCCCAAAAAAAAATTGCCGGACTCCTCGTTAAGCCCGGGGGTTTTTCTTGGGCCCCCCCTTAAAATTCCCTTTGGGCCCTTTTACTTAGAACGGGTTTCAAGGGGCCCCTTTAAACCCCTTTCCATAAATATAAAACCAAAAACATTTTTTTTTCCCAAAAAAAAATTTGGAAACCGGGGTTTCCAAAAGCAGAAAAGCCTAACTTTTTTTCCTTTAATTGGGGTTTAAAAAAAAAACCTTTTAAAAAATTTGGAAATTTTTTTTAATTTTCGGGCCCAAGGGGGGGATTTTTTTAATAGCCCCCAAAAAAATTTTAAAAAAAACCCTTTTTTCCGGGAATTGTTTTTCTAGAATCTTTAAAAAAAAACCTTTTTTAAAATTCATCCCCAAAAATTTTCCCGGGGGCTTTGGGGGGGACTAAAAAAAAGGGGGTTTTTTTCCCCGGGAATTAAAAAAGCCCCCCTGGGGGTTTCAAATGGGGTTTTAAAAGGGTTTTTTGCAGGGGTTCAAAACCAAAGGAAAAACTTCCCCAATTTAATCCTTTACAAAAAGGCTTTTTTTTCCCAAAAAAAATACCTGTATTTTTAAAAAATTTTCCCGAAAAATTTTTCTTTTTTCCCATTTTTGGGGGGCATCGGTTCCGTTTTAAAAAAAACCCTTTGGCATTTTTTTTGATTGCCCCAAAAAACCCAATTTAACCAAAACCAAATTTTCGGGTTTTTAACCCCTTTTCCCCTGATGGGGGAAACCAAATTGGACGGGGAAAAGGGAAAAAGTTTTTAAAGGGGGGTTTTCGTTTAACTCCCCCAAACTCAAAGCATTTTTCAATTTCCCTTTCCCCTTTAAACTATCTCCCCTGTGAGTTAAAAGGGAAAAATAAAATTAACCCCCTTAGCCCTTTTTTCCCGGGTTCTACGTAGTCAATTTTTAAATTGCCCAGGGTTTTAAAACAATTTTGACGAAATTTCCCGGGTATACCCTTTTTTTTTAAAAACATGGAAAAAAATTTTTTTTAAAAAAATTTTCCCCAATTTGAGTTTTTTTAAAAAAATCGGGGTTTTTGAAAGGGGCAGGTTTTGCCCCTTAAAAAAAATTTTTATATTTTCCCCTTAAAAACCTTTCCCCCTTTAAAAGGAACCTTTTTAAAAAAAAATTTTTTTGTCACTTTTCATTTGGAAAAAAACTTTTTTTTCAAAAAAACTTTTTTCAATTTAAATTTTAATCTTTTCTTTTTAAACCCAAAATTTTCCCCCGCTTTTTTTACAAAAAAAAGCTGAAAACTTCCCCT